AGGATAGCTCTGGTGATTTCGCTACTGAAGGGAAAGGGACTGGATTGGGCCACAGCAGTCTGGGAAGGAGGTGAGGCCGTGGCGCTTCCATACTCCACCTTCCTCGATCGGTTCAGGTGTTCGATTATCCCACGGAGGGAAAGGACGCGGGTGAGCGTCTCCTCCGGCTACAACAGGCAGAGGAGGCCGCGTTTGAGTATGCCCTGAACTTTCGCACGGTGGCTGCATCTTCCGGCTGGAATGAGCGTGCTCTGCGCACGGCCTTCAGGAGCGGCTTACGGGAGGACATCACAATGGAACTCGCATGTCGGGACGCCGAGATGGACCTTGATACCCTCATCGCCACGTCCATTCGTCTTGACGACCTGTTGAGAGACCGACGGCGTTCCCAACACCACCCGGAGCCTCGACGCTCACCCCATCTGAACTATGGAAGCCGCCCTGCCTCCGAGTCCTCACCCAGGGAGGTGGGCAGCAGCCCCTACACCACCATGGACCACAGATATCCTGGCGGCTCCCTATCAAGGCGGTATGACTCCCGTCGCCGCTCCGTGAGTGTTCTGCCATCACCTGTCACCAAACCATTGTTTTTAGTACTCCTAACAGTGAATGGTTCTTCTTTCTCTTCGCTTTCCACTGCAATGATAGATTCCGTATCAGCGGGGAATCTTATCGATAGAGAGCTGGTCTCTGATGAGTGGAAGACTGCATTCAGCACTACCTCAGGCCACTATGAATACTGTGCCATGCCCTATGGCCTCACCAACGCACCTTCTGTGTTCCAGTCCTTCGTCAATGAATTGTTCCGAGACATTCTGTGTAGACAGGTGGTGTACATCGACGATATCCTGATCTACTTGGCTACGTTCGAGGAGCATATCAGGGACGTCCGAGCAGTCCTACTCCGCCCCCGGGAACACAGCCTGTTGGTGAACGGGGAGAAATGCGAATTCCACCAACAGGCCTTCTCCTTCCTGGAATACAGGATCAGTCCTCAGGGGGTGTTCATGGAAAGAGCTAAGACTGATGCTGTCAGGTCATGGCCAGTCCCCACCACCATCAAGGGCCTACAGAGCTTCCTGGGCTTTGCAAATTTATACCGGCGTTTCACCAGGTCCTTCAGCTCCATAGCTGCCCCGCTCACCTCTCTCCTTAAGGGCTGGCCTGGAACCCTGAGGCTGACGCTGCCTTCAAGAGGCTGAAGGAGAGGTTCACCACAGCGCCCTTCCTAAAACACCAAGATCCAGCTCGTCCTTTCATCCTGGAGGTGGACGCATCTGAGGAGGGTGTGGGTGGGGTCCTCTCCCAGCGGGAAGGTAAGCCAGAGAAAATTTATCCCTGTGCCTTTTTCTCAAAAAAGCTTACCCCCGCAGAGAGCAACTATGGAGTTGGAGACAGGGAGCTGTTGGCGGTGGTCCTTGCTCTGGAGGAATGGCGACACTGGCTGGAGGGCGCAGTCCATCCATTCCGGATTCTCACTGACCACCGGAATCTGGAGCACATACGGGCAGCGAAACAGATTAACTCTCGTCAAGCCAGGTGGGCCCAATTTCCTACTCTCTTTCAGTTTATTCTGTCCTACCGCCCAGGATCCCAGAATGTGAAAGCCGACGCACTCTCCAGGATGCACCATACCGGAGAAAGGAAAATTCTGGGGGGTCCTATCCTGCCCTCGTCTCTCATCGTGGCACCTGTCGTTTGGGATGTGGACGAAGACCTCCGCCTGGCGGCTCAGGAGGACCCAGCCCTTAACCAACAATGCAGTTTTTAAGAAAAATAAATAAAAAGTTACGTTAAAGATAGCAAATAATTAAAGAGACGCAGTAAAATAAAATAACAGTAGGGAGGCTATATACAGGGGGTACCGGTACAGAGTCAATGTGCGGGGGCACCAGTTAGTCGAGGTAATATGTACATGTGGGTAGAGTTAACGTGACTATGCATAGATAATAAACAGAGTAGCAGCAGCGTAAAAGAGGGGGTGGGGGTGGGACAACATTCAAAATACATTTCATATTGATGTTCTGGTGCCATTCAGGCAATTTAAAGTATTGATTGGGGACTTCTTTGTGGAGGGATGTAACTATTTTTCTGTGTGATTTGTGATCAGCACTTTGGATTTTAAATGATACAAGACTGAGGTTAAAGTGCAGACTGTCAGCTTTAATTTGAGGGTATAAGAATATAATGTTTCTAAATACTTCTACATTATTGTGGATGCTACCATTATTACAGATAGTCCTGAATGAATCGTGAATAATTAATCATTAGAGAAAGTTAGAGGCATAAATATCATACCCCCCAAAAATGCTACCCTCCCCTTTTATTGTAATTGTGAGAGGTAAGCATGTCTTGGGCGTATGATATTTGTATATCTGTAACTTTCTCACTCATCATTATTCATGATTAATTCAGGACTACCCGTAATCATGGTAGCACCCACATTCATGTAAAAGTGTTTAGAAACATATTATATTCTTATTTACAATAAAATGTTTTCTAAAATGACACTACATTATTTACCATTCATTTCTATTGCACACAAAATAATCTGAAACACAACCAAAACAAACAGTAAATGCATCCAACAAGTTTGTAGAGTGACAAGCTTGATGTAATCATTGCGTGCTAGAAATATGGGACCAAACACTAAGCTTTTGACTACTTTAATACACATATGTGAATTTGTCCCAATACTTTTGGTCCCCTAAAATGGGGGGACTATGTACAAAAAGTGCTGCCATTTATAAACAGTTCACCTGATATGGATGAAAATACCTTCATATTAAAGCTCACAGTCTACACCTTAACCTCATAGTCAATGTGTCATTCCAAAGTGCTGGAGTAGAGCGCCAAACCAACAAAAATGTGTCCCTGTCCCAATACTTTTGGAGCTCACTGTATATATATTTAGTGTATAATGTGTATTGTCTAGAGCCTCTTATGTGTTCTCTTGTCTTGACAATTAGATAAGACACTGTTTAACTTTATATGCAAAAATAAACCCCACAAAGGGAAAAAAATATGTTCTTATAAACAGAGTGTGTGAGGGTGGTCCTAATGTGTTGGACTTCGATTCTTTTAGCCAAGTCTTAAAGATTTATTGGATAAAGCGTTACTTTAAGGACCCAAACAGCTCTTGGTTTACAATATCAAATCTTATTTTAAATAGGTTTGGTGGTTTAAGTTTCCTTTTGCAGTGTCCTTATGCAGTTGAAAATCTTCCTGTTAAACTGGCTGATTTCCACAAACAAATGCTTAATTGTTGGTCCCTTCTATACAAGCATCATTTCCCCCCTCATATGTATGTTATGTGGAATAATCTTGTCATAAAATATAAAAAAAAGTCACTGTTTTTAGAACATTGGTTTAGAAAGAACATTTTACTTGTGTGCCAGCTGCTCAATTCAGACGGACATCTGTATCCATACAACACATTTTTAAGAATGTGTGAGCGCCCTGTCTCACCAAAGGAATATGAAATGGTGTGTAAAGCAATACTAGATGGTGTTCTAACCCTTTTGAAACAAACTGTGGTCATTACAGATCCATTGCTTGTAAATTCAAACATAGTAATTAACAGTGTCTCAATTATTGATTAAAAAAATGCAATAATGAATTCATTAGAGAAGCTTTTTATGACAGTGTTGTTCCAATGGCAAAATGTAGGTGGAACTGGCAATGTGTTGTAAATCGGCCAAAGGTATGGACTTTATCATACAAATATGTGTTCACAAACAAAGCGAGGGAAACACTCTTTCAAATAACTCATAGATGTTAGCCATCCAATTAAAGTATTTGTAGATATATTAGAAAAGTTGATGAGAAATTTACATTTTGTCAATCTGGGACAGAATCACTTTGTTTTTCCAATGTGTGTATGTCACTATGTTCTGGGTGGATCTTCGGCTGGACTTGGGTAAAAAATTTGGTAGGGACATCCATCTGCAAGCTTGTGATGTTCTTTATGTTTTTGATAGTCCAAGATTCTTCACTGACGAAAAGAATGTGATGAATTTGATGATAATTCTTGCTAAATATTATATCCATAAAATGAATCTTTAAAGAAGAAACCATCCTATTCAATATTTTTTGAGGTAGATGTTAATAATTACTTTGCCATATTAAATACTATGATCTGTAAGAATTAGAAGGTAATGAATTCCAGGGGTGCAACTTTCACTAGGGATGGGATGGGGGATGGGGGGGGGGGGGGGCATGTGCCCCCCTATATTCTGAAATTTAATTTTTGTCCTATTTACATTTACGTCATTTAGCAGACGCTCTTATCCAGAGTGACTTACAGTTAGTGAGTGCATACATTTTTCATACTGGCCCCCCGTGGGAATCGAACCCACAATCCTGGCGTTGCAAGCGCCATGCTCTACCAACTGAGCTACAGGAGGCCCCCCAGTTTTATAAATAATATAATAATAATAATAATAATATGCCATTTAGCAGACGCTTTTATCCAAAGCGACTTACAGTCATGCGTGCATACATTTTTTTGTGTATGGGTGGTCCCGGGGATCGAACCCACTACCTTAGCGTTACAAGCGCCGTGCTCTACCAGCTGAGCTACAGAGGACCACAGCCACAATAATTGGAATGTGATACAAAACGAGCCAATGGTATGCTTTAGGACCATGCGGAGGCCTCCAAGCGGTCGGGTAGGCTGTTTGGAGTGTTTATCAGACTGAAGAAAAAAAAAGAAGAAAAAAAAATTATGTCCCCCCCACTTCTAAAACCAAAGTTGCGCCCCTGATGAAATCAATTAATACTCTTAAGCTTTTCAAATTTCTTTGAATGTAAAAACCCTGTATGTGTTCCTGTATTTGTGCTTATCTGTTTGTGTTACAATTTTTAAGAAGGATCTATAGATTTGGACATAATAATAATAATATAATAAAATAAATAAACAAACAAACAAAAATCTGTCCTTGATGTTGTGCTCAAGCGTATCATGAACCGGAAGTGACAACAAGTTCTTCCTAGTTTGAGACCGGCAAGATGGCAGCGGACACGCAGGTTTGTGTCGCTGATGTTTAAAATGGTGCTGATTCCTCCTCGAGAATTTGTCAACCAAATACTGTTGATAATGAAGATGTGATATGAGGGATAATTCCTTTATTGTGGCTGGCTGTATGGTTTCCCATAATTTTTTTTTTTTGTTAAACATTATCCAGCTGGCTAAGCTAGCTAACTGTTACCCTGGCTAGTGCAGGCGGAGAGTGCAGATAGCTGACGATGTTAGCCATAGGTAGCGTAAATATAGTAGCCTGCCAACTAGCAATACGTGGCTAGCTAGCTAGTCAGTTTTCTCGTGGTGACCAAATCCGTTGTTTGAGATGAATCGAAATGCCAACTGTTGTAGATGAGTAGGTTTTAGCCAGCCTAGTTTTTAATTTAGTTAGCGGTTAGCTACCATGAAACATTTCATGAAGTTGTTCTTGGTTGGCAACAGCCAATTTTAGTGGGAACGTATACTTGTTTGCTACCTAATGTTAGCCAGTTATGAGAAGCCAAACACGACTGTCTTCTGAATGGAATATTGTATTTGGTGACCACGCCTCAGTATCCAGAAATTGGATAAATAAAATGTTTTAATTGTTGTTATGGGTGGTCTGATCACTTTCTGCCTGATGATGCCATGCCATAAAAATCTCAGAAGATGTATGTTTTCCATCTTGATCAATTGAAGACTAATTACAAGTTACAACTTCAATCACTGTGGCATTTTTACAGATGCAGTACTATTGTTTTAAATGATTGACTTTATCCTAGATACACACATTGACAGACACAACTTTCTTTTGATTTTGGATGTCTGTGTGTATTGCACAAGGTTTCGGACACACTGAAGAAATTTGCTGTGAAAGTGACCACAGCCAGTGTAAGCGAGCGTAAGGAGGTCCTTGGCGAACTGAAACAGTGTATTAGCGGCAAAGGTGAGTAGACAGATGCCAATGTAGTTGGCTTAATTTGTTTATTTTCTGCTCTCACTCTTTGTTTATTTTTTGTCTTGGATTGTCAAGATTAAAGCAAACTGGTGTGAGTGATTGACAATGTGTATGTCCTTATAGAGCTACCAGAGCCAGCCATCAAAGGGCTATGCAAGCTCTTCTGTCTCACTCCACACAGATACAGGTAGGTGCCCTCAATTAGCCTACTGCTCTTCAGTATTCCCCAGTTATTGATTTGTTGGAAGTGTGTGTTGAGTGTTAAATGACATGTCTTCTCTAGGGATGCTGCATCTCGACGAGCGCTCCTCTCTGTCATTGGCCTACTGGCCGAGTCTCAACCTGACATCCTAACAACCAGCCTCCTCCACTGCCTCCTCAACTGTGGAGTCATCAGCAAGAATGGAGCACCCAGGTAGGACATGGGGATAGGAAGAGGGCTAAGACTAAATGCTTTGTATACATTTTACAGTGAGTTCTGTGCAATATTGTACTAATATCACCACACACTGAATACCTTCTTTCTGTTCCCTGTCCGTCTTGTTGTGGTGTTGTCAGTAAGAGCACAGGCTCGGCTGCCTTCACTGGGCTGGCCTGGACCTGCCTGCTGGTTCGCTCTGTGTTCTTGGCTCCAGAGAAAAGAGTGGGCCCCATTTGGAAGAAACTGGTAAGTGAACAAGGAATCAGACACTGCTTATAGAAGCCATGCCTTTCTCCCAGCAATCACTATTTACATATATACTGTGAAACGATTTCGGCATGAATTTAGATGTTGTCTAGTTCCACACAGGTGATGGGATGTTGGAATTGGTTGTTAAGGGACTTGTTAAGCCCTACTACTGTTTCTACCCATCCATGCTTCACTATCTTTCCTCTGACAGGTGGAGGTACAGAGTTTGCTGCTGGCTGAGGTGGTGGGTGGGGCTCAAGCAACAGCACTGAAGTCAACCCTGAAGAACCTGAGCCACCTGTGGAAAAAGGTAAGGGAGGTGTGGGGTTGGTATTCAACGAACGCCAGACAGTTATAAGGAATATTTGGACACTGTCATCATGGTCCAGTGTAAAATCAATATCAATCTGTTGTTTTTTCCAGAACCCTGGCCTGGCTGATCAGTATATAAGCACCCTGTTGAGTCTGGAGCAGAACCCCAGCTCACTGGCTCTGCTGGGGGTGTGTCTGGACTTCTGCACAACACACAAAGACATGGCCACCGTAGTGAAACACAAGGTGAGTCTGATGTTATTTTAATTCAATTAGATTAAAGATATTTCTATAAAAATTTAAAAAATTATTGCAGATTGAGTCAGCACATATGTTCACATTTGATATCTGTAACCAAGCCTCTCTTTTGTTTTTAGAGTGCCATATTGGACCTGTATATGAAGGCAGTCCTCATGAGCAAGACTATACCACACCAACACCTATTGGTGAGTGGAGCTGGACTGGCCCTGAAACTGCTTTTGTCAGAGATACCCAAAGATTGAAGTTCACAACCTAAAGACCACGCATAGCCACATTGATGTGTATTGTGAAATATCTTTTGGGTGTTGGTGCTGAAAATTATTCTCTGTAATGTGTTTTGTGTTCCTCTGCAGGACAAGAGTGGTTCCTTGCTGCGCCATGTCTCCCACTCTGAGTTCAAGGAGCTGCTGCTGCCTGCCCTGCAGAAGGCCATGCTCCGCAGCCCAGAGAACGCCATGCAGAGTGAGTACAGTAGCTAATATAATAATCAATATCACAACACACTTTTGTGTATATTATCTACTATGTATTGTAGTTTTGTCCTTTCAAGATATCATTTCCTCTCTCCTTCAGCCGTCTCCTGTCTACTGGCTTCAGTGACTCTTGACCTCAGTCAGTATGCCATGGATATTGGAAAAGGCATTGCAAGTAAGTCAGGCCTTTATTTGTAGAAAGTTAGCTTTTTGAGGATGTTTCTCTCTGTGTGTGTGTGTGTGTAACCAGGCTGTAATGTGTGTTTTTCAGGTCAGCTGAAGGCCAATAACCCCCAGCTGATGGAGCAGGCAGTGCAGGCCATGCAGAACCTGGCCAAGCAGTGTAGCGACCCTAGCGCTGTACAGGATGTCGTCACACATCTCTTCAGCATCCTGGGAGGCAAGGACAACTCACTTTACTGTCACCTAAGAAACATTTGAGCACACATCGCACAACACCCAAGTGTAAAGTATATTTTTGCACTACTGCACTAACAGAACTGTGTATTTTCAGGGTCAGAGGGGAAGCTCACAGCGTTCGGCCAGAAGATGAGTGTGCTGTCAGGTAGCGTTGTCACTAGTCTTCTGTCCTTCATAACCCACACTTAGTATGTAGTCTTGCAGACTGATGGATGTTGTCTTTTAACCCTTGTTTTGACTTGTTCTGTCCAGGTATCGGCAGCTGCAGCCATCATGCCGTGTCAGGCACCTCCAGCCAAACTCTCAGCTCTGCAGTCGCTGTGCTGTTCATCCCTTATCTTCAACAAGAAGGTAAGAACTATGTCTCATTCCTTCCTCCTTCTTATTCCCTTCATCCATAAAGAGAGGTGCTCATGTTGTGTTTCTGTCTGTCAGTCCATGAGGGGACTCTTGTGCATGCGGTGGCTGTGCTGTCTCAGTGGAGTGGTCGGCTGACGGTGGAGGTCCCCAAGGCTCTGCTGGACTGGTTCAAGAAGGCCTTCACCCTCAAGACCTCCACCTCTCCTGTCCGCCACGCATACCTGCAGGCCATGCTGGGGGCTTTCAAAGGTCAGTTAGTCACAGGCACTGGGCAACTATGTTACCTGTTTGTGTCTGTGAGCTTGTCTTTGAAATTAAATAACTCACTTGTCTATTATTATTTTTATTTTATTTCACCTTTATTTAACCAGGTAAGCCAGTTGAGAACAAGTTCTCATTTACAACTGCGACTTGGCCAAGATAAAGCAAAGCAGTGCGATTAAAAACAACAACACAGAGTTACATATGGAATAAACAAAACGTACAGTCAATAACACAATAGAAAATCTATATACAGTGTGCGCAAATGTAGTAAGTTATGGAGGTAAGGCAATAAATAGGCCATAGTGCAAAATAATTACAATTTAGTTTTAACACTGGAGTGATAGATGTGCAGAAGATGATGTGCAAATAGAGATACTGGGGTGCAAATGAGCAAAATAAATAACAATGTAAATAACAATATGTGGATGAGGTAGTTGGGTGGGCTAATTACAGATGGGCTGTGTACAAGTGCAGTGATCGGTAAGCTGCTCTGACAACTGATGCTTAAAGATAGTGAGGGAGATAAGTGTCTCCAGCTTCAGAGATTTTTGCAGTTCGTTCCAGTCATTTGCAGCAGAGATCTGGAAGGAATGGCGGCCAAAGGAGGTGTTGGCTTTGGGGATGACCAGTGAGATATACCTGCTGGAACGCATACTACGGGTGGGTGTTGCTATTGATCCAGTTCTACGGAATGCAGGAGGCACAGAATCAAAGCCCTGCCCTCTCTCTCCTCTCCAGGTGACACTCTAGGACAGGTATCTGACCTCGTGCCCCTCCTCCTCCAGACAGTGGAGAAGGCTGCGGCCCAGAACTCCCAGCATGCTCTGCTCTCAGAGGGCGTGGCTGCTGCTGTTCTCCTGAGTCGACTGTCTCTGCTGGAGACCCAGACAGGTGAGAGAATTTAGATTTAGTATCATAACACCCCATGATTAGTGAAGGTTGAGGTTCCCAGTAGGGGACAGCGTCCTTGTTCATCAGTTTAGAGACTGACATAGAATATTGTTTGTCTTTGCTGCAGAGGCCAAGTTGGCTGGCTTCTGGACCCTGATCCTGGATGAGAAGAAACCTTTATTCACCACAGGGAAGTTCCTCTCCCAGGCCAGTGAGGAAGGTGAGGCATAATAAACACGGTACACATTACAAAATGAGCTTAAACACTAATGCAGAAGGTCAGTAATCACACAAGTGTCAAGATATGGGATGACATTGAGTAGTAAATCTGTCTTTCACCCCAGCGTTGTGCACAGTGATACAGCTGTGTGAGAGAATTTTCTTGGACCACTCCCACCGACTCACCAACGGCAAATCACCGTGAGTGATTGTTTTACTGTCTCAGTTTTTCTGAATTTGTATCAGCATTTTGCAGAACACGTTTCCACATTTAGTGCTCCTTAAGTGTTGACTCTTTCTGCTCTTCTCACCTGTTAGGATGTACCACCGTGCCACTGTGGCGGTGCTGCTGTCTCGTAGTTGGCGCGTGCGGAAGCGGGCACAGCAGACCGTGAAGAAGCTGCTCTCCTCCCTGGGTGGCTCCGGCCTGGCCCATGGCCTTCTGGGAGAACTCAGAGTGGTCATCAACAAACATAAGGTACGAATAGTTGACTGTGAGGCACTAAGAATTTTTATAGATTTGTAGTGGCAGCTCTCACCTCAGTGGTACTATAAACTAGTAATGACTGAATGATTAAATTGGGATGTTAAGTAAAAATATTTTAATTGATTTGTAGTGTAATATGAATCTCTACATTATCCCTTTGTCATTGACTATATACTGTGTCTTTGTCTTTCCCAAGGTGTTGCCTCAGGAGGTGCTGCAGACAGAGTCAGGGGAGTTGTCTGAGGTGGGCAAGGCCTACAGTCCCCCCCGTGTCCTGCTGGAGGCGCTGTGTGTGGTGTGCACTGTGGCTGGCCAGTGGAACGACCCAGCCGAGGCAGACAAGATGGCCATGGATATCCTCGTCATCACCCACCATCCCTCCATAGGTCTGTTGGTTTACTTGTTACTGCACTCTACAGCATCTTTTACACAACTAGGGATGGGCAAGGTTAATCAAATATCCGGATATCTGAACGGACGTTAGTATTCGATTACGTGTGTTAATTTTCAGATACATTTTTAGGCCTATTTTAACGAAAAAGCTTTGTTTAAATTATATTCCATGGATAAACCATGCCATTTGAAATTCTTAATTTAATAAATAAACTAACTCTTGAATGTAGTTTTTATAACTGTGCGTTGAGCTACTGCTGCGCATTTATCCCTCCAGGCTGCCCTGACATCAGTATGCTATTTTCCCCACTTCAAATAGCAATTACATGCGCTCACCTAACGTTTCCACAATACCTGACACAGATCAATGCAAAGCACTTATTACATTTTATGTTTTGGTTTTGTATTATCACTTTCTTTTAAATATTGCATTGTTTTAAAATGATATGCAGAATCTTTTTGTAACAGAATCAATTCTATCATGGCGAAAATCGTATCTTTCGTTGTTGCTGTTAGCCAAATTACTGGAGAAAAGCAGCGTGTGCGCTGTTTACCTCTGCCATGTACATTTGCGTCATTCTGATTGGTCGAGATTCAATAGTAAAGATCTTTTCTTTTTTTGAATTTCGATTATCAGGTTTTCTGAAAAAGTATGATATTATTTGAATAGTGAAATTATTTCAAATGCCCATCCCTAGTATAAACCCACTACTAGTACTGACATATTTTCTCCCCCCTCTACTCTCTGACGATGCAGTTGAAGCTCGACCTGGTCTCTGGCCGCACCTGCTGTCCAGCATGAACATCAAGGCAGATGAGTTCATAGACAAGAACCTGGATGACATTCTGCCACGGCTGTTGCAGGCCAACACTGACAATCAGGTCCGAACATATTTCACATATTGACATCCTTATATTAGATGTACACATACATACTTACACTCACAGCCAAGGGTTGGTTGAGGCCTACTTTTGCTCTTGGTGATTGGATGAGACAAGCCTATGGTCCAACTTGTCATGTTCTCTTATTGGCTGACTGATGTTAGGTCCTCTTGTTTCACCAGGCTATAAGGAATGCGGTCGGTGCCCTGTCCGGTCTCTCTCCCATCAAGCTGCTGCCACGGGTGATGGAGCATGTGACACAGTGGCTGTCCAATCCTGCATTGCGGCAGGTCACCAGAGAGGAGTACGCCATCATGTTCACCCCTGAGGGAGAGCTGTATGATAAGAGCATCATCCAGAGGTAGGACACTAACACACTGTAAGAGCTGTTCTGTGGGTTTAACATTGTAGACAGCAAGAACGCTAATCATTGTTTCAAAGACCTTGGCTATGTTGATTTCTTTGTTGCTTGTAACTAAAGCTTGTTTCAACATTTCATTCTCTTCCTCCCACCTCCCATGTCCTGTGCAGTGCCCAGCAGGAGAGCACTAAGAAGGGCAACATGAAGAGGGAGAACAAGGCCTACTCGTATAAGGAACAGATCATCGAGCTAGAGCTGCAAGAGGTGAGACTGGGGGCTATGATTGATCAACTAGATGGAGAGAGGCCTGTTAACTGTTGTACACCTACCTCTTACCGTAGAAAGTATTCACACCCCTTGACTTTTTCCACATTTTGTTGTTACAGCCTGAATTTAAAATGGATTGAATTTAGATTTTTTGTCACTGGCCTACACACAATACTCCATAATGTCAAAGTGGAATTATGTTTTTAGAAATTGTTACAAATTAATTAAAAATGACAAGCTGAAATGTCTTGAGTCAATAAGTATTCAACCCCTTTGTTATGAAGAGCCTAAATAAGTTCAGGAGTAAAACAAATGTCTTTACAAGTCACATAAGTTGCATGGGCTCACTGTGTGCAGTAATAGTGTTTAAGATTATTTTTTAATGACTACCTCATCTCTACCCCACACATAGAATTATCTGTAACGTCCCTCAGTCGAGCATTGAAAATGCTAACACAGATTCAACCACAAAGGCCAGTGAGGTTTTCCATGCCTCGCAAAGAACGGAACCTATTGGTAGATGGGTAAAAAAAAATGCAAACATTGAATATCCCTTTGAGCATGGTACACTTTGGATGGTCTATCAACACACCCAGTCACTACAAAGATACAGGCGTCCTTCCTAACTCAGTAGCCAGAGAGAAAGGAAACCGCTCAGGGATTTCACCACGAGGCCAATAGTAAATTTAAAACTGTTAGAGTTTAATGGCTGTGATTGGAGAAAACTGAGGATGTATCAACAACATTGTAGTATCTCCACAATACTAACCTAATTGACAGAGTGAAAAGAAGGAATCCTGTACAGAATCAAAATATTCCAAAACATCAGTGTTGGAAAAAGTACACAATTGTCATACTTGAGTAAAAGTAAAGATACCTTAATAGAAAATTACTCAAGTAAAAGTGAAAGTCACCCAATAAAATACTACTTGAGTAAAAGTATAAAAGTATTTGGTTTAAAATATACTTAAGTGTCAAAAGTAAATGTAATTGCAAAAATATACGTAAGTATTAAATGTACAAGTATGAATAATTTCAAATTCCCTATATTAAGCAAACCAGATGGCACCATTTTTAAATGTATTTATTTATTTACAGATAGCCAGTGGCGCACTCCAACACAATTTACAAACAAAGCATTTGTGTTTAGTGAGTCCGCCAGACCAGAGGCAATGGGGATGACCAGGGATGTGCTCTTGATAAGTGCTTGAATTGGACCATTTATCTGTCCTGCTAAGCATTCAACATGTAATGAGTATTTTTGGGTGTCAGGGAAAATGAATGGAGCAGAAAGTACATAATTTTCATTAGGAATGAAGTGAAAGTTGTCAAATATAAATACTAAAATACAGATACCCAAAAAAACTACTTAAGTAGTACTTTAAAAGTATTTTAACTTATGTACTTTACACCACTGCAAAACATGCATCCTGTTTGCATTAAGGCACTAAAGTAAAACTGCAAAACATGTGGCAAAGCAATTCACTTTTTGTCCTGAATACAAAGTGTGATGTTTGGGGCAAATCCAATACAACACATTGAGTACCACTCTCCATATTTTCAAGCATAGTGGTGGCTGCATCATGCTATGGATATGCTTGTAATTGTTAAGGATTGAGGAGTTTTTCAGGATAACAATTAAACGGAATGGAGTTATGCACAGGCAAAATCCTAGAGGAAACCTGGTTGTCTGCTTTCCACCAGACACTGGGAGATGAATTCACCTTTCAGCAGGACAATAACCTAAAACACAAGGCCAAATATACACTGGAGTTGCTTACCAAGAAGACAGTGAATGTTGCTGAGTGGCCAAGTTACAGTTTTGACTGAAAGCTACTTGAAAATCTATGGCAAGACCTGAAAATGGTAGTCTACCAATGACCAACAATCAATTTGACGGAGCATAAAACATTTTGAAAATGGGCAAATGTTGCACAATCCACTTGTGGAAAGCTCTTAGAGACTTACCTAGAAAGACTCACAGCTGTAATCTCTGCCAAAGGTGATTGTACAAAGTATTGACTCAGGGCTGTGAATACTTTTAATTTTCAATACATTTGCAAAAATGTCTAGAAACATGTTTTACTTTGTCATTATGGGGTATTGTGTGTAGATGGTTGAGACAAAAAAAATACAAAAAATCAATTTTGAATTCAGGCTGTAACACAACAAAATGTGGAATAAGTCAAGGGGTATGAATACTTTTTGAAGGCACTATGTATGGGCTAATAGATGCAGGATGGTATTAGTACTGTTTGATGATCCTCTTATCAGAGAATGTAAACTGAACAAAAATATACATGCAACAATTTCAAAGATTTCACAGAGTTACAGTTCATATAAGGAAATCAGTCAATTGAAATAAATTCATTAGACCCTAATCTATGGATTTGACATGACTGGGAATACAGAAAGCATCTGTTGGTCACAGATACCTTTTTAAAAAATGGTAGGGGCGTGGATCAGAAAACCAGCCAGTATCTGGTGTGACCACCATTTGCGTCATGCAGCGTGACACATCTCCTTCGCGTAGAGTTGATCAGGCTGTTGATTGTGGAATGTTGTTCCTCTCCTCTTCAATGGCTGTGCGAAGTTGCTGGATATTGGCGGGAACTGGAACATGTTGTCATACACGTTGATACAGAGCATCCCAAACATGCTTAATTAGTGACATGTCTGGTAAGTACAGTGGGGAGAACAAGTATTTGATAAACTGCCGATTTTGCATGTTTTCCTTACTTACAAAGCATGTAGAGGTCTGTATGTTTTATCATAGGTACACTTCAACTGTGAGAGACGGAATCTAAAGCAAAAACCCAGAAAATCACATTGTATGATTTTTAAGTAATTAATTTGCATTTTATTGCATGACATAAGTATTTGATACATCAGAAAAGCAGAACTTAATATTTGGTACAGAAACCTTTGTTTGCAATTACAGAGATCATATGTTTCCTGTAGGTCTTGACCAGGTTTGCACACACTGCAGCAGGGATTTTGGCCCACTCCTCCATACAGACCTTCTCCAGATCCTTCAGGTTTCGGGGCTGTCGCTGGGTAATACGGACTTTCAGCTCCCTCCAAAGATGTTCTATTGGGTTCAGGTCTGGAGACTGGCTAGGCCACTCCAGGACCTTGAGATGCTTCTTACGGAGCCACTCCTTAGTTGCCCTGGCTGTGTGTTTCGGGTCGTTGTCATGTTGGAAGACCCAGCCACGACCCATCTTCAATGCTCTTACTGAGGGAAGGAGGTTGTTGGCCAAGATCTCGCGATACATGGCCCCATCCATCCTCCCCTCAATAAGGTGGAGTCGTCCTGTCCCCTTTGCAGAAAAGCATCCCCAAAGAATGATGTTTCCACCTCCATGCGTCACAGTTGGGATGGTGTTCTTGGGGTTGTACTCATCCTTCTTCTTCCTCCAAACACGGCGAGTGGAGTTTAGACCAAAAAGCTATATTTTTGTCTCATCAGACCACATGACCTTCTCCTATTCCTCCTCTGGATCATCCAGATGGTCATTGGCAAACTTCAGACGGGCCTGTACATGCGCTGGCTTGAGCAGGGGGACCTTGCGTGCGCTGCAGGATTTTAATCCATGACGACGTAGTGTGTTACTAATGGTTTTCTTTGAGACTGTGGTCCCAGCTCTCTTCAGGTCATTGACCAGGTCCTGCCGTGTAGTTCTGGGCTGATCCCTCACCTTCCTCATGATCATTGATGTCCCACGAGGTGAGATCTTGCATGGAGCCCCAGACCGAGGGTGATTGACCGTCATCTTGAACTTCTTCCATTTTCTAATAATTGCGCCAACAGTTGTTGCCTTCTCACCAAGCTGCTTGCCTATTGTCCTGTAGCCTATCCCAGCCTTGTGCAGGTCTACAATTTTATCCCTGATGTCCTTACACAGCTCTCTGGTCTTGGCCATTGTGGAGAGGTTGGAGTCTGTTTGATTGAGTGTGTGGACAGGTGTCTTTTATACAGGTAACGAGTTCAAACAGGTGCAGTTAATACAGGTAATGAGTGGAGAACAGGAGGGCTTCTTAAAGAAAAACTAACAGGTCTGTGAGAGCTGGAATTCTTACTGGTTGGTAGGTGATCAAATACTTATGTCATGCAATAAAATGCAAATGAATTACTTAAAATCATACAATGTGATTTTCTGTATTTTTGTTTTAGATTCCGTCTCTCACAGTTGAAGTGTACCTATGATAAAAATTACAGACCTCTACATGCTTTGTAAGTAGGAAAACCTGCAAAATCGTCAGTGTATCAAATACTTGTTCTCCCCACTGTATGCAGTTGTGTTCATTGTCTGTAGCTTATCCCTGCCCATACCATAACCCCACCGCCACCATGGGGCACTCTGTTCACAACGTTGACATTGGCAAACCGCTCGCCACATGATGCCATACACGCTGTCTGCCATTGTCCCGGTACAGTTGAAACCGGGATTCATCCATGAAGAGCACACTTCTCCAGCGTGCCAGCGGCCATCGAAGGTGAGAATTTGCCCACTGAAGTCGGTTACAACGCTGAACTGGTGAGGACAACGAGCACGCAGATGAGCTTCCCTGAGACGTTTTCTGACAATTTGTGCAGAAATTCTTTGGTTGTGCAAAGCGACAGTTTCATCAGCTGTCCGGGTGGCTGGTCTCAGATGATCCAGCAGGTGAAGAAGCCGTCCTGGGTTGGCGTGGTTACACGTGGTCTGCGGTTGTGAGGCCGGTTGGACATATTGCCAATTCTCTGGCAACAGCTCTGGTGGACATTCCTGCAGTCAGCATGTCAATTGCGCACTCCCTCAAAACTTGAGACATCTGTGGGATTGTGTTTTGTGACAAAACTGCACATCTTAGAGTGGCCAATATATTGTCCCCAGCACAAGGGGCACCTGTGTGATCTTTTTATATATATATTTATTTTTCTTATTTTTTTACCCCTTTTTCTCCCCAATTTCGTGGTATCCAATTGGTAGTTAAAGTCGTGTCCCATCGCTGCAACTCCCGTACGGACATGGGAGAGGCGAAGGTCGAGAGCCGTGCGTCCTCCGAAACACAACCCAACCGAGCCGCACTGCTTCTTGACACAATGCCTGCTTAACCCGGAAGCCAGCCGCACCAATGTGTGGGAGGAAACACCGGCCCGCCACAGGAGTCGCTAGTGCACGATGGGACAAGAACATCCCTGCCGGCCAAACCCTAACCTGGACGACGCTGGGGCAATTGTGCGCCGCCCCATGGGTCTCCCGGTCGCGGCCGGCTGCGACAGAGCCTGGACTCGAACCAGCATCTCTAGTGGCACAGCATGATCATGTTGTTTAATCAGCTTCTTGATATACCCGACCTGTCTGGTGGATGGATTATCTTGGCAAAGGAGAAATGCTCACTAACAGGGATGTAAACAAATTGGTGCAGAACATTTTAGAGAAATATGCTTTTTGTGTGGATGGACAATTTCTGGGGTCTTTTATTTCAACTCATGAAACATGGGACCAACACTTTGCATGTTGCGTTTATATTTTTGTTCAGTATAATAGCTCTAAGTTGAATTACGATTTAACCATAATTAATTGAAGAAAGTAGAGTTATCATGAAATTAACTGGGATTTCTATGTCTGTGTTTTAGGAGATCAAGAAGAAGAAAGGCATCAAAGACGAGTTGCAGCTGACCAGCAAACAGAAGGAGATGATGCAAGCCCAGCTGGAGAAAGAGTCCTCCATTCGCAAGAGACTACAAGGGGTACGGCCAGACACTTTAACATTTTTCACACTTATCCTGTTTCTCAAACGTTAAACTGTAGACATTGACATAATAATGTTCCTGTTGATTGATTGATTGATCGACTGTTGTGTGGTTGTCAGTTGGACATGGAGCTGCAGTGTGCGGTGGGTCTGCTGGAGGCAACGTTGATCCAGAAGCCTCCCCAGATCTCCTGGCAGCTCCCAGGGGTCCTCCAGGTCCTACTGCCCCTCCTCCACTCCCCCCTGGCCGCCCCACGCCTGCAGCAGGCCTTCCTCGACATAGGAGCCTGCCTCATGCCCACAGAGCTGCACTACCTTGGTACATATAATAGATGGTGTAATTTATTCCATTTAGCTGAGGCTTTTATCCAAAGCATAGACTAATACACTCAGGAGAGCTTTCCTCTCACTTCCCTCTTATGTCCTTGTTCACACACCTTCACAGATCTGACAGGACTGGATAGGAGAAAATAACATGATGGAAACTCCACCTAGCCTACATGAAAACTATGTGGAGTTATTGCTTATACCTGTCCATTTGTCTCCGATCTTTAAATGGGAGTGAACAAAGATAAAATGGAGGGAAATACTTTCTACTTTCTGTGATGAAACTTTCTCTAATCTCCTGCATGGTCTACTCATGATTTTCTCTACAGCTGTGCTGGTGGGCCAGGTGACACTGCGCCTGATGAAACCTGAGTGTCATCTGGACGAGGCCTGGGGACAGGAGGATCTAGAAACAGCCACCCAGCGCACGGTCGGGCTGCTGCACATGCACACTGTCCCACACAGAGAGGGAAAGGCTGGTGGTGAGCACACACACACACAGAGAGGGCAAGACTTGTGAAGAAACACTGACACAATACAGACATACATCAACATAATTATACCTGCTGGTGGCCTAATGCTCTCATCCTGTTGTTTCAGACATGGCTCCGCTGTCTGCCCCAGCCTTCTCCTTCTGTTTCCCCCTGCTCAACACCGTGCTCAGGGACTCCTCAGGCAGCACTGAGGAGACGGAGAGCATGCAGGTCCGCGCCCTGCAGGTCATTAATGTGCATGCTCAACTTCGCGCTGAGGTTGACACCTCAGACATACTCATCGATGAGGTAAGAGTTGATCAAGTTTATCGTCTAGCAGTGTGTTGTTACCTCCCTTTGTCTGAGGCGTTCTCCTATCAACGTATAATACTCCTATGAACGTATAATACTGCTATCAACGTATAATACTGCTATCAACGTATAATACTGCTATCAACGTATAATACTGCTATCAACGTATAATACTGCTATCAACGTATAATACTCCTATCAACGTATAATACTGCTATCAACGTATAATACTGCTATCAACGTATAATACTGCTATCAACGTATAATACTGCTATCAACGTATAATACTGCTATCAACGTATAATACTGCTATCAACGTATAATACTGCTATCAACGTATAATACTGCTATCAACGTATAATACTGCTATCAACGTATAATACTCCTATCAACGTATAATACTGCCTATCAACGTATAATACTGCTATCAACGTATAATACTGCTATCAACGTATAATACTCCTATCAACGTATAATACTCCTATCAACGTATAATACTGCTATCAACGTATACTACTCCTATCAACGTATAATACTGCTATCAACGTATAATACTCCTATCAACGTATAATACTGCTATCAACGTATAATACTCCTATCAACGTATAATACTGCTATCAACGTATAATACTCCTATCAACGTATAATACTGCTATCAACGTATAATACTCCTATCAACGTATAATACTCCTATCAACGTATAATACTCCTATCAACGTATAATACTCCTATCAACGTATAATACTGCTATCAACGTATAATACTCCTATCAACGTATAATACTCCTATCAACGTATAATACTGCTATCAACGTATAATACTCCTATCAACGTATAATACTTGTCGTCTCTTCCTAAACTCTCCACTCTGGCTGGCTATCATAGACAAAGGGCTTATGTTTGTATGACTTGTCTCTCTGTTTTGTCTCTCAGAATGGACCTGAGCTGCTACCTCGTTTCAGTATGCTGCTGCTCCTGACCAGAGTCATCTCCACTGCAGCACCCAGACTGCAGGTACACACTCCAACACCATGCTTCTACCACATTTACAGACAAATACTAACCAGTAGAGCTATCACATACGTTTATACAGTGTGTCCGAGTGTAGATCTGTAATTGTGTGTGTTTCAGGTGCTGGCGTCCCAGTGTCTGACGGCGGTATGTGCCAGTGCAGGAGGAGAAAAGGGCTGTGCTCTGGCTGAGCAGAATGAGATAGATGTCCTGCTGGAGGCTCTGCTCTCCCCCTGCTTCTCTGTCAGAGACGCTGCCCTCAGGGTGAGGAAATAGTGTGTGTCTGTGTGTGTGTACTGTGTGTAGGTCTTTGGATGTGTGTTAATGTCCCACCTCTCTCTCTGTCCAGGGCCTGTTGGAGATGGAGATGGCTCTGCCTACAGAAAGTACAGATGCCAATGGTCTGCGTGTTCTCCGCAGGCTGTGGGTGTCCAGGTTTGATGTGGAGGAGCAGTGCAGGACCCTGGCTGAGAAGTGAGTAGCTAACGTCGTCCCCTCTATGTAATACTTAGCTAGTTGAATATAGCTCCCGTCTTCAAAATTACTTTGCTTTCGAGAAGTAGCGCGTCTCTCCTCTCATGTAGCGTAGCTGCTGTGACTGACCATACCACTCTGCTCCCCTTCTGTCCCCCAGGCTGTGGCAGGCTCTGTGTCTGGAGCTGGTCCCTGAGCTGTGCTCTCTGCTCATTGGGGATGTGACCCACCATGAGGAGGCTGTGCGTACTGCCGGGGCTGAGGCTCTGTCCAGTGCCATCAGCGAGTACCGCGACCAGTCCCCCACTGTCCTGGGTCAGCTCAATGAGCTCTACCACCAGAAACTCTATGTGAGTCTCCCTCCCCATGGCCCTCCTATCACAGCTCAGGAATAGCCACTAGTCAGGTATCAAGAGTGGTGTGTTGTTGTAAGATCCGCTATATATAAAAAGGTATGTGGACACCCCTTCAAATTAGTGGATTCAGCTATTTCAGCCACACCTGTTGCTGATGGGTATAAAATCGAGCACACAGCCATGCGATCTCCATAGACAAACATTGGCAGTAGAATGGCCTTGAAAAGCTCAGTGACTTTCAACCTGGCACTGTCATAGGATGCCACCTTTCCAACAAGTCAGTTGGTCAAATTTCTGCCCTGCTAGAGCTGCCCTGGTCAACTGTAAGTGCTGTTATTGTGAAGGGGAAACAGCTCAGCCACGAAGTGGTAGGCCACACAAGCTCACAGAACAGGACCGCAGTGTGCTAAAGCGCGTAAAAATCCTTTGTCCTCGGTTGCAACACCAACTACTGAGTTCCAAACTGCCTATGGAAGCAACGTCAGCACAATAACTGTTAGTCGGGAGCTTCATGAAATGGTTTCCATGGCCGAGCAGCCACACACAAACCTAAGATCACCATGCGCAATGCCAAGCGTCAGCTGTAGTGGTGTAATGCTCGCCGCCATTGGACTCTGGAGCAATGGAAACGCGTTCTCTGGAATGATGAATCACGCGTCACCATCTGGCAGTCCGACGGACGAATCTGGGTTTGGCAGATGCCAGGAGAACGCTACCTGCCCCAATACATAGTGCCAACTAAAGTTTGGTGGAGGAGGAATAATGGTCTTGGGACTGTTTGTCATGGTTCAGGCTAGGCCCCTTAGTTCCAGTGAAGGGAAATCTTAACACTGCAGCATACAATGACATTCTAGACGATTCTGTGCTTCCAACTTTGTGGCAACCGTTTGGGGAAGGCCCTTTCCTGTTTCAGGATGACGATGCCCCCGTGCACAATGTGAGGTCCATTCAGAAATGGTTTGTTGAGATCGGTGTGGAAGAACTTGACTGGCCTGCACAGAGCCCTGACCTCAACCCCATCGAACACCTTTGGGATGAATTGGAACGCTGACTGCGAGCCAGGCCTAATAGCCCAACATCAGTGCCCAACCTCACTAATGCTCTTGTGGCTGAATGGAAGCAAGTCCCCACAGCAATGTTCCAACATCTAGTGGAAAGCCTTCCCAGAAGAGTGGAGGCTGTTATAGCAGCAAAGGGGGGACCAACTCCATATGCATGCCCATGATTTTGGAATGAGAGCAGGTGTCCACATACTTCTGGTCATGTATTGTAGAACCATGGTCAATGTGAAACTGTTGTCTTTTTACAGAGACCCCCTCCTGTCCTGGATGCTTTAGGACGAGTCATCTCTGAACAACCACCTGACCAGTGGGAAGCCAGGTAAGAGAACGCTCTGCCACTCAACAATGTTGATACAACTCTTATTCCAGTGTATAGCACTGGGTGATGATAATGTTGATAGCTTTCTATATCCTAATTTGCTGTGTTTTTAAGTGGGACCACCTTGTTGCGTGGTGTCTAAGGGTGTGTTGGTGTCTGCAGGTGTGGAATCGCCCTGGCTCTGAACAAGCTGTGTCAGTACCTGGATGAGCCCCAGGTCACCCCTCTCTTCCTGTTCTTTGTTCCTGACGCCCTGAATGACCGTCACCCTGAGGTGCGGCGCTGCATGCTGGACGCTGCCCTCTCTGCCCTCAACACACATGGAAAGGTACCAACATTCTTTATTTACTCTAGACAACCACACGCATCTCCTGGCACCCAATGCAACGGCTCCTCTCTCAATGGACTGCTACAGTATATCCGTTTTCTTTCTGAGTAGTGTGTTGTGTTGTGTTCAAGGACAATGTGAGCTCCCTGCTCCCCGTGTTCGAGGAGTTTCTGAAGAACGCCCCACAGGATGCCAGCTACGACTCAGTCCGCCAGAGTGTGGTCATCCTAATGGGCTCTCTGGCCAAACATCTGGAAAAGAGTGATCCCAAGGTCAAACCCATCGTGGCCAAGCTCATCACAGCACTCTCCACACCGTCACAGCAGGTACTGGAAAAATCCCTTTAAGAGTGTGCTCCTAATCTCAGTTTGTTACCTGTATAAAATACACCTGGGAGCCAGAAATCTTTCTGATTGAGAGGGGGTCAAATACTTATTTCCCTCTTTAAAATGCAAATCAATTTATAACATTTTTGACATGCGTTTTTCTGGATTTTTTTGTTGTTATTCTGTCTCTCACTGTTCAAATAAACCTACCATTAAAATTATAGACTGGTCATTTCTTTGTCAGTGGGCAAACGTACAAAATCAGCAGGGGATCAAATAATCCTTTCCCTCACTGTAGGTTTCATCTTGATTTCTATAACCTATATGCATTGACCTTTACAATGAAATGCCTTTACATTGTCACATTGGCCTCAGCTGAGCATCACTAAGCCTTCTTATGGTAATCGTGATCTTGTCTGTCTCTTTCCTCCCTCAGGTCCAGGAGTCTGTGGCTAGCTGCCTGCCTCCTCTGGTCCCTGCCATCAGGGAGGATGCTGGGGGGATGGTGCGTAAGCTGCTGCAGCTGCTGCTGGAGAGTGACAAGTACGCTGAGAGGAAGGGTGCGGCCTACGGCCTGGCAGGCCTGGTCAAAGGCCTGGGCATCCTGGCCCTCAAACAGCAGGACATCATGAGCACCCTGAGCGACGCCATCCAGGACAAGAAGAACTTCCGACGCAGAGAGGGTCAGTGACTCCTTGCCAGTTGCTTAACCTTGCTGGGCTCTATGGTGTAGTTTGTTCACCCGCTATCTTTGCCTGTGATTTCTAACACTTAACTCTCTCGGTCTTCTCCAGGTGCCCTGTTTGCCTTTGAGATGCTGTGCAACATGCTGGGGAAGCTGTTTGAGCCCTATGTGGTCCACGTGCTGCCCCACCTCCTGCTCTGCTTTGGGGACGGGAACCAGTACGTCAGAGAGGTAGAGTTAACATTACCAGCTTCTCATTTCAATCCCACCTACTTTCTCTCTTTATCCCGCTTTCTCACACACTTCTCACTCAACACTACTTTTCCACCTAATAATTCTCACATTCACTCACGTTTTGTTGTGCATTACGCTCTACCTAACGTAACTGCCCTTTTCCAGGCGGCAGATGACTGTGCCAAGGCGGTGATGAGGAACCTGAGTGCCCACGGGGTGAAGTTGGTGCTGCCCTCCCTGCTGGTGGCTCTGGAGGAGGAGTCCTGGAGGACCAAAGCAGGTGAGGGTCCACCCACTGCATCATGGGCCTTTTTTTGAGAGCTGTGCCATGTTATCCCAAATGATAGGATTGAACCATTCAGCAATCACCTGATGGTAACCACATCCTTGTCTTGTCCTCCCTTCCTTTGCCCCCACTCTGCTCCCAATTTATCTCTCTCTCCTTAATCCTTATACTCTCCCCTATCTACTCTACTTTCCTCCTCCAGGTTCTGTGGAGCTCCTGGGTGCCATGGCATACTGTGCCCCTAAGCAGCTGTCCTCCTGCCTGCCCAGCATTGTGCCCAAGCTGACCGAGGTGCTGACTGACTCCCATGTCAAAGTGCAGAATGCCGGCCAACAGGCCTTACGACAGATCGGCTCTGTCATCCGCAACCCTGAGATCCTAGGTATGGAGGGCTGTGCTCAACTCTGAGATTTAGCTATAGAAATGCAAAAATTCAGTTAAAAAAAATTCTGTTAATTTTACTTATACATCTGTACAGTTGTGTGAAAGTAATTAAGTAATTTTTTATATCTGTACTCTACTTTACCATGTATATGTTTGACTACTTTTACTTCACTACATTCCTAAAGAAAAATAATGTACTTTTAATTCCATACATTTTCCCTGACACCCGAAAGTACTCGTTACATGTTGAACAGCAAAATGGTCTAATTCACACACTTATCAAGAGAACATCCCTGGTCATCCCTACTGCCTCTGATCTGGCGGACTCACTAAACACACATGCTTCATTTGTAAATTATGTCTGAGTGGGGCCCTGGCTATCAGTACATTTTAAAAACAATAAAATGGTGCCGTCTGGTTTGCTTGATATGAATTTGAAATGGTTTATACTTTTACTTTTGACATTTATGTATATTTAAAACCAAATACTTTTAGACTTTTACTCAAGTAGTATTTTACTGGGTGACTCACTTTTACTTGAGTCATTTTCTATTACTGTATCTTTTACTCAAGTATGACAATTGGGTACTTTTTCCACAAATGCATATGTAGGGGTAATACAGATACCGATTGGTATTTTAGGGTGGTCACGAACAGTGTTTCTGTCCCCCTCTCAGCCATAACCCCCATCCTGCTGGACGCCCTCACTGATCCCTCCCGTAAGACCCAGAACTGCCTGCAGACGCTGCTGGACACCAAGTTTGTCCACTTCATCGACGCCCCCTCCCTGGCCCTCATCATGCCCATCGTCCAGAGGGCCTTCCAGGACCGCTCCACTGACACTCGCAAGATGGCTGCTCAGATCATCGGCAACATGTACTCCCTCACTGACCAGAAGGTACATAGCAACACTGGGATATTGAGCTGCATTGTACCACAATTCATCAATTGATCTTCTCAAAATGCTCTAAGTTTATAATATATGTGTTTCTAATGGTTGACACAATGTGTTTGTCTCTTTGTGTTACAGGACCTGTCCCCATACCTGCCCAGTGTCATTCCTGGACTCAAAGCCTCTCTGCTGGACCCTGTGCCTGAGGTATGTGCCTGTGCCTAACAGCTCAACAACAAACACGTTAACGTTAAGTGGTTTGGTTACCTGATAACTCTCTCTCTCCTCTCAGGTGCGTACAGTGTCAGCCAAGGCCCTGGGTGCCATGGTGAAGGGCATGGGTGAGTCTTGCTTTGATGACCTGATGCCCTGGCTCATGGAGACCCTGGCATCTGAGCAGAGCTCTGTGGACCGCTCTGGAGCTGCCCAAGGTCTGGCTGAAGTGATGGCTGGGCTGGGCGTGGAGAAGCTGGACAAGCTGATGCCAGACGTGGTGCAGACGGCCAGCAAGGTGGACATCGCCTCCCACGTCCGCGACGGTTACATCATGATGTTCATCTACCTGCCCCTCACCTTCGGGGACAGGTTCACCCCCTACGTTGGCCCCATAATCCCCTGCATCCTCAAGGTAGGGGAGCACTCACCATTCACTACCATCTCTCCAATCTCTCTCTCTTTCTCGTTCTGGTTGTGAACACCTCTCACCAGTCTCTCCCTCTCTCCTCGGTATTACAGGCTCTGGCAGATGAGAACGAGTATGTGAGAGACACTGCCCTGCGTGCCGGCCAGCGCATCATCAGCATGTACGCTGAGACTGCCATTGCCCTGCTGCTGCCTGAACTGGAACAGGGCCTGTTTGATGACCTCTGGAGGATTAGGTCAGGCATCTACCCATATATACACACAATATACATTTTATGTCAGTATGTAATGGTTTTACTTGGCAGTGATAGTAATGTATGCCTCCATGTTGTCTCTGGTTCACAGGTTCAGCTCTGTGCAGCTGCTGGGAGACCTACTGTTCCACATCTCTGGAGTCACAGGGAAGATGACCACCGAGACCGCCTCAGAGGACGACAACTTTGGCACAGCGCAGTCCAACAAGGTATTCTGACAAATATACATGATTGTACTGTATAGATCGTTGATTATATAGTGGTGTATATTAGAAGTAAAGAATGTTGAAGGTATGTAGTGTTGCTGCTGAGCTCTCTTCCTCGTCTCCCAGGCTATCATCGGAGCCCTGGGTGGAGAGAGGCGTAACCGAGTCCTGTCTGGCCTCTACATGGGCCGTTCAGACACCCAGCTGGTGGTACGACAGGCCTCCCTCCACGTGTGGAAGATCGTGGTGTCCAACACGCCCCGCACCCTCCGGGAGATCCTGCCCACCCTCTTCACTCTGCTGCTGGGCTTCCTGGCCTCCGACTGCCCCGACAAGAGAACGGTAACGCTACTGCTCCCCAAGTCTAGAATCTATGGAGTTGTTTCCTTCTTTCCCTCTCACAACTATTAAACTGTATCACATCCCCTTTGTCTAACTCTCTGTTGTCCTGTTCTTTAGTTGCACATTGTAAGACTTTAGATTTCTGTTATTACTGAATTACAGTATTCTTGTCTGAATTTGAGTGTGTTTGCGTTCTGTGTTCTCTCCTGCTTCTGATCCCTGGGTTACTGAATGTGACTTCTCTCTCTGGTTGTAGATCGCTGCGAGGACACTTGGAGACTTGGTCCGTAAACTGGGAGAGAAGATCCTCCCAGAGATCATTCCTATCCTGGAGGAGGGTCTGCGCTCAGACAAGAGTGATGAGAGGCAGGGCGTGTGCATCGGCCTCAGTGAGATCATGAAGTCCACCAGCAGGGACGCGGTCAGTTCCTCAACACATACCTGGCCACTTTTTCCTTTATTTAACCTGGCAGTCCCTTGAGATGAGTATCAATTTTTCAAGGGAAACCTTTAAATGTCTTAGACATAGCAGGGGTATGTGATGTGATGCCATGGTAGAGCAGTAAGGTGACAATGTGTGTGTTGTGTATGTTTCCAGGTGCTGATATTCTCTGAGTCCCTGGTCCCCACAGTGAGGAAGGCTCTGTGTGACCCCCTTGAGGAGGTACGAGAGGCTGCAGCCAAAACCTTTGAGCAGCTCCACGCCACCATAGGTCACCAGGCCCTGGATGACATCCTGCCTGCCCTGCTCAAACAGCTGGTGAGAGACACATCCACACACACACACACCAACATAAACCCAATTCACCTCTAAAAAACCCTCTGTATCCACCATAGACATTAAAACCAGTAGATAGTGATTGCGCTGACGTCATCCACGTATTCCAATGGAAAACTTCCGATGGCGCATGAAGCCGGAAGTATTTGAATTTGAAGCGTGCCATATTGCTGAATGGGGCTTGAATGGCACCAAAAAATCGCTAAGCATCATAGTTCAAGTGGCCGTAACTAGCAAAGGATCATGGTCGATGTCGTAGCTTTCATCCTGCCTGGGAGAGTCAACCGGGAGCCTCCTCGTAGCCTGCCGGCATGTGACTGGTCTGTGTCACGTGGTCCTGTGTAACAACAAATGTAGTCGTCAGAATGGATTTAATAAAATGTCTCGATTTGTAGCGAACTTGATAAGAATTCACTGTGGGGATCGAACTCGATCATAATAAACACATTTTAGAGCTCAAAACAGCCGTCTAAAAAAATTGTTTGGCCGTTCTGGCGATCGTAATTTACATAGGCTTTCTAGGGCAGACTAGGGCTTTTAGCACTGCTACGTTGTTACGCAGTAGCCGACCAGTAGAGCTCGTGACATAACGCTCCAGACCAGACACTGGGGGCCTGGTATCCACACATTGTGTTCAGTAATACTCACTCCCCTGTACCTCCCTAAACCAATTCTGGAGAGGGCAGAGAGGACCCACCATGGAACAGAATATTTACATTTGACATTTTAGTCATTTAGCATACGCTCTTATCCAGAGCGACTTACAGTTAGTGAGTGCATACATTTTCATACTGGCCCCCCGTGGGAATCGAACCCACAACCCTGGCTTTGCAAGCGCCATGCTCTACCAACTGAGCTACACGGGACCTATATAGAGTGAGGTTAATGTTTCTCTGTGTGCAGGATGATGAGGAGACTGCAGAGTTTGCTCTGGATGGTCTGAAACAGGTGATGGCAGTAAAGAGTCGCTCTGTGCTGCCCTACCTGGTGCCCAAGGTGAGCTGTCCACACATTATACACTACTAACAATGGTTAATCTCAATTATAATTTATTGGATTTATATAACACTTTTCCTGATGCTCAAAGTGCCTTTAAGTCTTTTATAGTATGAGTGTACACTACCGGTCAAAAGTCTTAGAACACCTACTCATTCCAGGGTTTTTCTTTATTTTTTACAATTTTCTACATTGTAGAAAAATAGTGAAGACATCAAAACTATGAAATAACACAAGGAATCATGTAGTAACCAAAAATGTGTTAAACAACTCAAAATCTCTTTTATATTTTGAGATTATTCAAATAGCCACTCTTTGCCTTGATGACAGCTTTGCACATGCTTGGCATTCTCTCAACTAGCTTCACCTGGAATACTTTTCCAACAGTCTTGAAGGAGTTCCCACATATGCTGGGCACTTGTTGGCTGCTTTTCCTTCACTCTGTGGTCCAACTCATCCCAAACCATCTCAATTTGGTTGGGGGATTGTGGAGGCAGGTCATCTGATGCAGCACTCCATCACTCTCCTTCTTGGTAAAATAGCCCTTACACAGCCTGGAGTTGGGTCATTGTCCTGTTGAAAAACAAATGATAGTCCCACTAAGCCCAAACCAGATGGTATGGCGTATCGCTTCAGAATGCTGTGGTAGCCATGCTGGTTAAGTGAGCCTTGAATTCTAAATAAATCACAGACAGTGTCACCAGCAAAGCACCCCCACACCATAACACCTCCTCCTCCATGCTTTACGGGGGAAATACACATGCGGAGATCATCCGTTCACCGACACCACATCTCACAAAGACACGGCGGTTGGAACCAAAAATCTCCAAATAGGACTCCAGACCAAAGGACACATTTCCACCGGTCTAATGTCCGTTGCTCGTGTTTCTTCTTATTGGTGTCCTTTAGTAGTGGTTTCTTTGCAGAAATTCAACCATGAAGGCCTGATTCACACAGTCCCCTCTGAACAGTTGATGTTGAGATGTGTCTGTGACTTGAACTCTGTGAAGCATTTATTTGGGCTGCAATTTCTGAGGCTGGTAACTCTAATGAACTTATCCTCTGCAGCAGAGGTAACTCTGGGTCTTCCATTCCTGTGGTGGACCTCATGAGAGCCAATTTCATCATAGTGCTTGATGGTTTTTGCGACTGCACTTGAAGAAACTTTCATAGTTCTTGAAATTTTCCGGAGTGACTGACCTTCGTGTCTTAAAGTAATGATGGACTGTTGTTTCTCTTTGCTTATTTGAGCTGTTCTTGCCATAATATGGACTTGGTCTTTTACCAAATAGGGCTATCTTCTGTAACCCCCCCCCCCTACCTTGTCACAACACAACTGATTGGCACATTAAGAAGGAAAGAAATTCCACAAATTAACTTTTAAGAAGGCACACCTGTTAATTGAAATGCATTCCAGGTGACTACGTCATGAAGCTGGTTGAGAGAATGCCAAGAGTGTGCAAACTGTCAACAAGGCAAAGGGTGGCTATTTGAAGAATCTCAAATATAAAATATGTTTTGATTTGTTTAACACTTTTTTGGTTGCTACATGAGTCCATATGTGTTATTTCATAGTTTTGATGTCTTCACTATTATTCTACAATGTAGAAAATAGTAAAAATAAAGAAAAACCCTCAAATGAGTATGTGTTCTAAAACTTCTGACTGGTAGTGTAGTTCTGTGTATGAATGCTATCCTCTCCTCTCCCCTGTCAGCTGACTGCTCCTCCAGTGAACACGCGTGTGCTGGCCTTCCTATCTGCCGTGGCTGGAGACGCTCTGACACGCCACCTGGGGGTCATCCTGCCCGCCCTCTACTCCTCTCTGAAAGACAAGCTGGGAACAGAGGAAGGACAGCAGGTAATAACAGCATTCATGATTACAAGATGGTTGTAAAGCAGTAGCAAGTGGACGGGCACTACTATTACAGTCATCATCATGGGGATAATATTACAGTGGTTCTTAGTGGGCTGTTGTGGTCACTAGATGATGGCTCTGTCCCCAGGCTCATATAACCCCTGTCCTCACCCCACCCGTCCTCTAGGAGCTGGCCAGCTGCCAGGCAGTGATCCTGTCTGTGGAGGATGAGGTTGGTCAGCGTATCATCATCGAGGACCTGCTGGAGGCCACCAGATCACCTGATGCTGGTCTCAGACAGGCCGCCGCCACCATCCTGAATGGATACTTCTCCCGCACCCGCCTGGACTACAGCGCCCACACACGCAACCTGCTGTCAGGCCTCATCCGCCTGCTCAACGACTCCAACCCTGAGGTCCTGGTTCAGAGCTGGGACGCCATCAACTCCATCACCAAGGTTAGCTGTTGGCACCATGAGCATTACAGGCACTGGGAATTAGTTTGTCAGGGTTTACTGACGTCATACAGTATTTGTTATTCATGTGTGTTGCAGCTTTATGCAGCATTGATTTTATAGATAACCAAAGGCCACTAGGTTAACTGACATAGTATGTATCTATGTGAGGTAATGTTAGACTCTTGTTTGTTTGTTTTTGTAGAAACTGGACGCTGGCAGCCAGCTGGCTCTGATTGACGACCTGCACAGAGACATCCGATCAGTGGCAGCAGACGTCAAGGGTCAGCATCTGCCTGGGTTCTGTCTGCCCAAGAAGGTAAGCCTCTCCTCTAGACACATATGGCGCATTTCCACTGAGGATTTAGCCCAGTGTTTTACTCAGAAGGCTCAGACTTTTCTGTTACCATCTACGCGGGCCGGCACCCATGTCTCACTGGGCCATGGCTCCGGTGGACCTTAACTTGGAACCAAGCCCCCTGGGTACTTTTCAGCTGGCATTTACATAACACTGGCTAACTGTGAACTTTAACACCTTCAAACAAAGCAACAGTCTTGAATGATGCAGAGGCTGAATCTGCTCGCTACAAGTCTTTAGTGTCACACTCCTGATGGAAACACACTAAAGGCGTCCGCATGCTTCCCAGCCAAACAGTTCGGAGTTTGTTCATTCGGAAAGTATTCAGACCCCTTCCCTTCCACATTTTGTTACGTTACAGCCTTATTCTAAAATGGATTAAATAAAAAAATGTCCTCAATCTACACACAATACTCCATAATGACAAAGCGAAAACAGGTTTTTAGAATTTTTGGCAAATGTATTAAAAATGAAAAACAGATACCTTATTTACATAAGTCTCGAAATTGAGCTCCGGTGCATCCTGTTTCCATTTATCATCCTTGAGATGTTTCTACAACTTTATTGGAGTCCACCTGTGGTAAATTCAATTGATTGGACATTACATTTTAGTCATTTAGCAGACGCTCTAATCCAGAGCGATTTACAGTTAGTGAGTGCATACATTTTTCATACTGATGACACCAACAGTGAATTGAACATGGGAGTATCCCCATGCCAGCTGTCTGTACCTGCTAAACAACAGGCTGGCAGCTGATAGGAGAACACTGTGGCAGATAGTGAAACATATCAGTTTGTCGATGACAAGTGATATCCGGACGTAGATCATTTCAGCCAATCAGAGCAGGAACTGCATAGTGATTATGAATGATGGCACCAGACTGCGAGAGAGAGAGAGAGATCCCAAAAAGCCTGGAGTCATTAAGCCAAGCACAGCCACATTACAGTACAGACAGTCATCCAACTTTTTGCCAACAGAGGAGACAGATTTGCAGTATATTTTCACGCCTGTGTATCAAAACGGCTGACAGGACTGGCAAACCTTTCCATTACTTTAACTAGCTCTGCCCTGAACTTTAGTCACTGTTATTAGCCGGCTACCATCCGGTACTCAACCCTGCACCTTAGAGACTGCTGCCCTATGTACACAGTTATTGAACACTGGTCACTTTAATAATGTTTACATACTCTTTTACCCACTTCATTCTAGTCAAGGCTCATCCTATATAATTAATGCTGTACACTCCTTTTCTATTCATATAATGTCTATAATACACCATCATATACATATATATTTATATTCCGGACTCTGACATTGCTCGTCCTGATATTTCTTATTTCCTTTATTTTTGGGATTTGTGTGTATTGTTTGTTTTGTATGGTTAGGTATTGACTGCACTGTTGGAGCTAGAAAAACAACAATTTTGACATGATTTGGAAAGGCACACACCCGTCTATATAAGGTCCCACAGCTGACAGAGCATGTCAGAGCAAAAACCAAGCCATGAGGTCGAAGGAATTGTCCGTAGAGCTCCGAGACAGGATTGTGTCGAGGCACAGATCTGGGGAAGGGTACCAAGAAATGTCTGCAGCATTGAAGGTCCCCAAGAACACAGTGGCCTCCATCATTCTTAAATGGAAGAAGTTTGGAACCACCAAGACTCTTCCTAGAGCCGACCGCCCGGCCAAACTGAGCAATCTGGGGAGAAGGGCCTTGGTCAGGGAGGAGACCAAGAAGCTGATGGTCATTCTGACAGAGCTCCTTAGTTCCTCTATGGAGATGGGAGAATGTTCCAGACGGACAACCATCTCTGCAGCACTCCACCAATCAGGCCTTTATGGTAGAGTGGCCAGACGGAAGCCACTCCTCAGTAAAAGGCACATGACAGCCCGCTTGGAGTTTGCCAAAAGGCACCTAAAGGACTCTCAGACCATGAGAAACAAGATTCTCTGGTCTGATGAAACCAAGATTGAACTCTTTGGCCTGAATGCCAAGCGTCACGTCTGGAGGAAACCAGGCACTGCTCATCACCTGGCCAATACCATCCCTACGGTGAAGCATGTTGGTGGCAGCATCATGCTGTGGGGATGTTTTTCAGCGGCAGGGACTGGGAGACTAATCAGGATCGAGGTAAATATGAACGGCGCTAAGTACACCGATTTTTGATGAAAACCTGCTCCAGAGCGCTCAGGACCTCAGACTGGGGAAAAGGTTCACCTTCCAACGGGACAACGACCCTAAGCACACAGCCAAGACAACGCAGGAGTGGCTTCGGGACAACTCTCTGAATGTCCTTGAGTGGCCCAGCCAGAGCCCGGACTTGAACCCGATCAAACATCTCTGGAGATGAAAAATGTATGCACTCACTAACTGTAAGTCACTCTGGATAAGAGCGTCTGCTAAATGACTAAAATGTAAATGTAAAAAAAATGGAGATACCTGAAAATAGCTGTGCAGCGACGCTTCCCATCCAACCTGACAGAGCTTGAGAGGATCTGCAGAGAAACTCCCCAAAAACAGGTGTGCCAAGCTTGTAGCGTCATACCCAAGAAGACTCGAGGCTGTAATCACTGACAAAGGTGCTTCAACAAAGTACTGAGTAAAGTGTCTGAATACTTATGTAAATGTGATATTTCAGTTTTGTATTTTGTATAAAAAATCTAAACCTGTTTGCTTTGTCATTGTGGGGTATTGTGTGTAGATTGAGGGGGGAATAAAAACAATTTAATCTATTTTAGAAATAAGGCTGTAATTTAACAAAATCTGGAAAAAGTCAAGGGGTCTGAATACTTTCCCATTGCACTGTATATTATGGCAACAATTTGAAGTTTTTGTTCGTTTTGGACTTCGGTAAGGGTTTTTTCGGCTGTTTGGGCACACATTTTTTCCCCCCTGGAGGCAAGCCGAAGTCGGTAGCCAAAGTCTACGCCCCCTCGTCCGTGATTGGTGAACAGTAGGGTTTCTTCAAAAAAGTATTTGTTGTCATTCAATGAGAGACGACTCCTTTTCATGCACATTATTTCATTGAGAAATACTGCACGAAACATCATAGTTAGATGTAATTCTGACTATTTTGAGGAAGTTTATTGGCTACTGCGTCTTAAAATGGACAAACAGTACTATTGCCGCTTTTTTTCTCGTTTTTCAAGCTAAGGTCTTTTTAAGGGAGTATGCAAGCACACTCCTTCGGTTCACGTTGCCGAATTCGGCTAGCCGCCAGTTGAACTGAAGCAAGCTGACGCCTTAACACTAGTTTACATTAGCAACATGCATGCCCCGCCCACCTGAGGATCTGTCTTTATCAACTATCTATTTACTGTGTTTGAGGGTGCAAAATCCACTTGTCATTTAACTCTCGCTGGATTGATTGCTTTCATTTTACTCCTGCGATTCTTTCATACTCTTGCTTGTGCCTGTCGTTTTCCCCCGTTAATGTTATGACCGCTGAAACGTTTACTGACCTGTCAAACACTGGTAATGGCTGAAATGGCCTCAATGGAATACATTGTCTTTTTGTTGGATCTATAAGAAAGCTTCGTCGGGGATTTAACGCACTGTTTTGACACTTACATCACAAGAAAGAGAAGAAAGATAACTTTATTTTGATGGCTGTTCATTTTTTGTGGAATTGAAAGTAATAATTTAATACAGTTGAAATGTTTACAAATTAGATGCGCTGAAATGAAAGCAACTTCCTGAAATGAACACTCGGATTATAGTGATATTATGTTTGATCTTGCAAACAATGTCAAGTATGTTTAGATGGGTGTAACCTAGAGCCAAGCGTGTTGATTTTTAATCCGAGGGTAGCCTGCTATTGACACACTTGAATCATGCAAGAGAAGGTGACAACGTAATTAATGAGGCAGTCTAGACCGTGCATTAGGGTAGACTGAGCAAGTGTTGTGGTTGCAGCCCTGTTTCACACCTTTATATTAATATATGCTAATACCTCTGGTCTATTTATGCAAATGAGGCACATCATTTTCTTAATCTTAACACAAAATATTTAAAAAAAACTGATACAATAAGTGTATATGAGTGCATTTTAAGATTTGACAATAAATTGACCTGAATTCCACCAAAATCCCTGAACACCATTCATTATTTGTCTGTGCCAGAAATGTTTTATGTGCTATAATTCAGTCAATATCTGATGGATTATAAAAATTCAAAACGTTTAGAGTATCTTCATCCATTGTCCAACTGTTGTATTTATTAGAATTGTTTTTAAAACCTTGTAACAATTGTGATGACCGTTGCTATTAATACTGGCAACACCCTGGTGTGGGGGTAAGTCTAGATAGAAAAACACCAATACAGTCATATCTACAAGTTACTCAGGCTGACTAATGTTATAATACCTTGTATCCTCCCTCGTCTCCTCTTCCTCTTTACCCCTCTTCTTCTCCTCTCTTTCCCACTTCCCCAGGGTGTGACCTGCATCCTGCCAGTGCTGAGGGAGGGAGTGTTGACAGGCAGTCCTGAGCAGAAAGAGGAGGCTGCCAAAGCGCTGGGAGGAGTCATCAAGCTGACCTCCCCCGATGCTCTCCGACCGTCTGTGGTCAACATCACTGGACCGCTCATCCGTATCCTGGGAGACCGCTTTACCTGGACCGTGAAGACCGCTCTGCTAGAGACACTCACCCTGCTGCTGGCCAAGGTCAGTGTCTGCTGATGATTCTGATGTTAAAGGTTGTGTTCGGTAAGCAGAAAATGGGAGGGGACCTTTTTGGGGGGGGGGGGGGGGTTAATACATGAAATAGTCATTAAACAACAATTTTTGCTCTTCCATTTCTAAAAGTTTTTTCCATTTTGTGCCTAATAAACAATCCTGTAGTTTCCTCCCTGCTGGAAGGATGGATGGTGTCTGGCTCTGGTCCTGACCCTGTTGCTCTGCCCGTCTCCAGGTGGGCATTGCCCTGAAGCCCTTCCTGCCCCAGCTCCAGACCACCTTCCTAAAGGCTCTGCAGGACTCCAGCCGGGCGGTCAGACTGAGGGCTGCTGAGGCCCTGGGCCAGCTGGTCTCTATCCACAGCAAGGTGGACCCCCTATTTACCGAGCAGCTCTCTGCCATCAACAACGCTGAGGACTCAGGAGTCAGGTATGCAAAACCATGAAATTATGGGAATGTTTCCGGAATTTTGCAACCCTCGGGTGTTCATACTGAGAAACAATATCAAGAGTAGTGATCAGTTCCATATAGGATTCCTCTCATTTAGAACATTATTTTTGATTGATTGGATTTAATCAATCAATCAACCTTGTGAGCCTAGTGTTCTGCTCCCATCTTTTAGGGAGACCATGCTACAAGCCTTACGATTTGTCATCCAGGGAGCGGGGTCAAAGGTCGACCCAGCCATCAGGAAAAACATTACCACGACATTGCTGAGCATGCTGGGACATGATGAGGTATGTCCAAAGATGGTGGATAAATGAAGATGGTTCACTCAGGCCGTTTAACATTGAAAACAATTGTCAGTTCTCGTCTACTTAACGGGGTGGGTCTCCCATAGGCACCAATGCAATAGCAGCTGGGTCTGGTCTACCTACATTGAGCTCAAAGTATTTGGACGGTGACAAATGTTTTGTTGTTTTGGCTCTGTACTCCAGCACTTTGGATTTTAGACTGTCAGCTTTAATTTGAGGGTATTTTCATCCATATCGGGTGAACCGTTTAGAAATTACAGGAGTTTTTTTACATAGCCCCCCCCCCCCACCATTTTAGGGGACCAAAAATATTGGGACAAATTAACTTATGTATTATAGTAAAAAGTTAAGTATTTGGTCCCATATTCCAAGCACGCAATGATTACATCAAGATTTTGACTCTACAAACTTGTTGGCTGCATTTGCTGTTTGTTTGGTTGTGTTTCAGATTATTTTGTGCCATTTTGGAGTCACTTTTATTGTAAATAAGAATATAATGTTTCTAAACACTTCTACATTAATGTGGATGCTACCATTATTATGGATAGTCCTAACTTAATCATGAATAATGATAAGTGAGAAAGTTAGACACACATATCATACCCTCAGACATGCTAACCTCTCACCATTACAATAACAGGGGAGGTTAGCATTTTTGGGGGGGAGGTATGATATTTATGCCTTAACTTTCTCACTCATCATTATTCACAATTCATTCAGGACTATCTGTAATCATGGTAGCATCCACATTATATGGAAGTGTTTAGAAACATATTCTATTCTTATTTATAATAAAAGTGACTCCAAAATGACCATTCATTTCTATTGGGCACAGATAATCTTAAACACAACCAAAACAAACAGAAAATACATCCAACAAGTCATAAACTTGATATAATCATTGCGTGCTAGGAATATGGGACCAAATACTAAACTTTTGACTACTTTAATACGCATATAAGTGAATTTGTGCCAATACTTTTGGTCCCCTATAATGGGGGGGGACTATATACAGAAAGTGCTGTACTTCCTAAACGGTTCATCCAATATGGATGAAAATACCTTCAAATTAAAAGCTGACAGTCCACACTTTAACCTCATAGTCATTGTATCGTTTAAAATCCAAAGTGCTGGAGTACAGTCTCAAAACAACAACAAATGTGTCACTGGCCCAATGCTCACTGTAGTAGACTTTCATTGAACCAGAAAAAAACAGCGAATGGGGTGTCTCACTTCCTCTTCCATCTCTGGTATGTCTTCGAGCAGACACACTGACTACAGCATGTACAGTGAGGGGGGAAAAAAAGTATTTGATCCCCTGCTGATTTTGTACGTTTGCCCACTGACAAAGACATGATCAGTCTATAATTTTAATGGTAGGTTTATTTGAACAGTGAGAGACAGAATAACAACAAAAAAATCCAGAAAAACGCATGTCAAAAATGTTATAAATTGATTTGCATTTTAATGAGGGAAATAAGTATTTGACCCCTCTGCAAAACATGACTTAGTACTTGGTGGCAAAACCCTTGTTGGCAATCACAGAGGTCAGACGTTTCTTGTAGATGGCCACCAGGTTTGCACACATCTCAGGAGGGATTTTGTACCACTCCTCTTTGCAGATCTTCTCCAAGTCATTAAGGTTTCGAGGCTGACGTTTGGCAACTCGAACATTCAGCTCCCTCCACAGATTTTCTATGGGATTAAGGTCTGGAGACAGGCTAGGCCACTCCAGGACCTTAATGTGCTTCTTTTAGAGCCACTCCTTTGTTGCCTTGGCTGTGTGTTTTGGGTCATTGTCATGCTGGAATACCCATCCACGACCCATTTTCAATGCCCTGGCTGAGGCAAGGAGGTTCTCACCCAAGATTTGACGGTACATGGCCCCGTCCATCGTCCCTTTGATGCAGTGAAGTTGTCCTGTCCCTTTAGCAGAAAAACACCCCCAAAGCATAATGTTTCCACCTCCATGTTTGACGGTGGGGATGGTGTTCTTGGGGTCATAGGCAGCATTCCTCCTCCTCCAAACACGGCGAGTTGAGTTGATGCCAAACAGCTCAACTTTGGTCTCATCTGACCACAACACTTTCACTCAGTTCTCCTCTGAATCATTCAGATGTTCATTGGCAAACTTCAGACGGCCCTGTATATGTGCTTTCTTGAGAAGAGGGACCTTGCGGGCGCTGCAGGATTTCAGTTCTTCACGGCGTAGTGTGTTACCAATTGTTTTCTTGGTGACTATGGTCCCAGCTGCCTTGAGATCATTGACAAGATCCTCCCGTGTAGTTCTGGGCTGATTCCTCACCGTTCTCATGATCATTGCAACTCCACGAGGTGAGATCTTGCATGGAGCCCCAGGCCGAGGGAGATCGACAGTTATTTTGTGTTTCTTCCATTTGCTACTAAACGCACCAACTGTTGTCACCTTCTCACCAAGCTGCTTGGCGATGGTCTTGTAGCCCATTCCAGCCTTGCGTAGGTCTACAATCTTGTCCCTGACATCCTTGGAGAGCTCTTTGGTCTTGGCCATGGTGGAAGAGTTTGGAATCTGATTGATTGATTGCTTCTGTGGACAGGTGTCTTTTATACAGGTAACAAGCTGAGATTAGGAGCACTCCCTTTAAGAGTGTGCTCCTAATCTCAGCTCGTTACCTGTATAAAAGACACCTGGGAGCCAGAAATCTTTCTGATTGAGAGGGGGTCAAATACTTATTTCCCTCATCAAAATGCAAATCAATTTATAACATTTTTGACATGCGTTTTTCTGGATTTTGTTGTTATTCTGTCTCTCACTGTTCAAATAAACCTACCATTAAAATTATAGACTGATCATGTCTTTGTCAGTGGGCAAACGTACAAAATCAGCAAGGGATCAAATACTTTTTTCCCTCACTGTATGAATGCAACAGAGACGTTTTTAAGGCAGACTACTGATCGCCCCCGTCTCTTTTAGTGGTAATTGCTAGAATTGAGTGCAAAACAATTATCAGTTTTATCTTGCTAGCTAAATATATATTCTACCTGCAATACCAGTCAAAACTGTTCGCTGCTCTGGCACCCCAATGGTGGAACAAGCTCCCTCACGACGCCAGGACAGCGGAGTCACTCACCACCTTCCGGAGACATTTGAAACCCCACCTCTTTAAGGAATACCTGGGATAGGATAAAGTATTCCTTCTAACCCCCCCCCCCAAATTGTAAAGTGGTTATCCCACTGGCTATAGGGTGAACGCACCAATTTGTGAGTCGCTCTGGCTAAGAGCGTCTGCTAAATGACGTTAATGTGCCCTTGAGCAAGGCACTTAACCCTAATTGCTCCTGTAAGTCGCTCTGGTTAAGAGCGTCTGCTAAATGACTAAAATGTAAATGTAAATGTAAATACTGAACCTGACATAAGGACACAATCAGATCCAAGTTTCAGTGTCAGTGCAATGTTACATTTTAGCTCTGATCAGACTTGACTTCCGTCAGTCAAGGCAGGATGTGGCTTTATGAAAGTGGTTTTCGGCCTCCTTGTGTGTATGAAAGCCTTAAAGCTGCAATATGTAACTTTTTGGGCAACCCAACCAAATGCACATAGAAATGTGTTAGATCTGTCATTCTCATTGAAAGCAAGTCTAAGAAGCGGCAGATCTGTTCTGTACACTTTCTATTCTTCCTGTTCTCAAGTTTCATTTTCGCGTCTTATACTTTCAGTTTTGTACACCAGCTGAAAATACAATATTTTTGGTTATGGAAAATATATTTAAGTGGTTTTGCTTGTTTTGTCACAAACTGAAATGAACCAGGTGCATCTTTAAGTAGACTCATGTCGGTGTGTGTGTAGGATGCTACACGAATGTCCTCAGCAGGGTGTGTAGGAGAGCTGTGTGCCTTCCTGTCTGAAGAGGAGCTGAGAAGTGTGTTGCTTCAGCACGTCCTGGGTAGGAATTTACACTGTCACACCATATTCTCCACCACACACTACCCCTTACGTGGCACAAACATTCACACTTATGATAAAAGGTATTCACACATTCATTAACCCTTTATAATTTCTTACACTTAATCCTTTACAGTTGTGGGATTTGGCCTATATGGATAGGGCTAAATTGAAATGTTTCTTACAGAATAAATATGAAATGCATAAGCATGGTAGCAATTGAAAGGGGACATTTTGGAGATGGAAATGATTAGACCAAAGTTGAGGACACAACAGTTCACAAGACAGATTTTATGTGAATTTTACATTGAATGTACTTTTCGCCGCATTTGTTGATAAAGAAGTCTGAAAATACTCTGGATACATTCAGTAACATAAGAATATTTTTGGAAAATGTGGGGTAAGTGCAACATAAGATAAAAAAAAGACAAGGGTTTGAGTGAGAGGACTAACTGGTGTCCAAGTGGCCACACACCTTTCCAAAGTAATTTCAATGCACTTTTATGTTGCAATGTCCACAAATTGGTAAAGAAAAACATCTTATACCACTTCCTGGTCTTGTGGTGGACCTGGTAGTAGCCTATCAGATAGGTCGACACGCCCCATGCTGGCATTGTAGTCCTTCACAGAAACAGGAATGGGGACATTCTTCCTCACCCTTGCATGCCCCATTGGCATTTTTCACCCTCCTTGAGACTTGGTCGTTATTGAATGCCTTATGCTGTGTGGTGAGCATGGTTACTTCCCTAGTGTCCCATTTCACAAAAAGCAGCTTGTTAGTCCTGATCCAACGTATGGTCCCCCTCTCCGCTGTCTTTGTCATGTCGCTTACCTTGGTCTTGGGTAAACACATTCTGTTAGGACGAATGGTGCCGAATGGTGCCACAAGACCCTATTTTCTTTTTCAAGAGGTCTATGAAAAGTGGATATAGAACCATCAGACTGGGTGTTTGACATAGCAATAGGGGGTGAAGACCGGCGGGGGCGCTTGCTGGGGAGGGGTGGCTCCCAAACGTCATCATCTAAATCCTCTGCATCCTCCACTCTGTGGTGAATAAAATGAAGGGATAAATTGTTGTAAGACACACAGAATTACCATTGACTAAATTTACAAAACGACATTACTGTAAAGTAAAAACACCAAGCCTAAACTTTATCTGTACAGTTATTCAAATAGGTGTGAAACACACAATGCAAACAGTAACACTTTGGAGACAAAGGCAGAGGTGAGAACCACAAATAAACAATGGCCATGAGAGTTTAGTGGCTTCTCCAAAGGATGAAACATAGAACAGCAAACAGTGAACTAATATGAAACAGACAACTACTTTGGAATTATTTAACATTGAAATTACTTGTTACATAGGCCTATGTAAACTAAATCCAAAGCACAAGTACATATTGTAAGTTAGCTAAATAAAGTCATGAAAATAATTTACTTACAGATCTAAAAGTGAATCCAATCCTTCTAGAAAGCAATCTTCGTCGGCCGAGTCGAAATCCTCGTTGTCCAAATCGCTCACCAGATCCGAGTCCGACTCCAGTATTTTATTCAAAGCTTCTATGTCGGTATACTTATTCATAGCTGCGTTCTTTTTATGTTCCTGTTCGATATTTTTAGTTTCCCCCCTTGAGAAGCCATGGGTCAACTGCATATCCCTGGCATGCTTACCTCATTGGCTACAAGACTGTCAAGGTGCCATAGTAGCCAATTCCCTGTGTAATGGATGCCTACAGCGCGTAAGCACGCAAAGATAGTCACTCGGTGGACATTTGATGTTGAAATTAAGTCATACATCATCAAATAACATTGGCAATTTGCTAGATTTGTTCCTACAAACCTATGGATTAATTAGATACCCATCACGTATTTATAGCTCAAACACAGACCAAATCGAAGCTTACCTTGTAAGATGTTTGCTGTTCGGTGAAAACGTTGTGTAAAATAAACATTTTGACTCTCAGGGTTGGTGGTCAATAACGGTAGCTAGGTCATAGGCAGACAAATAAGACATCCTCATGATCTGTGGAGTCCCTGCTTTCGGTGTGTATCAACGTATTCCGTGTTTATTTCGTTTATGCTTCACAACGCTAACCGGAATGTAGGTAGCAGCCATCTTCAAATTAGATCATCGGCTCGGCCTGTCCTTATAAGTTTGTATGCCCATATGATAGTAAGTACACCAAAGATTTTAAGGCACCGATCAATAGCCAAGATACTCACTTTTCCACAGACACCCTGCTTTTGCAGATAGGGGCTACCGTTCTCATACCAGACTGAATTGAATAAAAAAAGTCATATGGGGACTTTACATTTAAGAGGTTAGTGGCCAAATCTGCAATTTTCAACCCATATACGGGTACGAGTGTAAAGTGCTACCTCTCACTCTATCAAAATGATAATGTAGTAAGGAAAGACATTCATGTTTGTACTAAGTAGTACGAAAAATGTATGCACTCACTGTAAGTCGCTCTGGAAAATAGTGTCTGCTAAATGACTAAAATGTAAACAAATGTAAATGTACTAAAACTGTGCTCTCTCTTCTCCTAGCTGACATATCAGGCGTGGACTGGATGGTGCGTCATGGTCGCAGTATGGCCCTGGCCATTGCAGTAAAGTCTGCCCCTGAGCAGCTGTGTGTGGAGGAGTACAGTTCAACTGTGATGGAGGCCATCCTGGCCAATGCCACCGCAGACAGGGTAGAAACATCATACATTTGGTCAGATCTAAGTGGATACTGATCCCTTTAGTTTACTAATTCTGTTCACCCAGACCATGGAAGGATTTGCTTTCCAAGCACTCTCTTCCCCTGTCTTGACCCTCTCTGACTAAACACTGCCCTGTCCTGTCGTCTCCTCAAGATCCCCATAGCCACCAGTGGGATCAGAGCCATGGGCTACCTGATGAGACATCATCTCAGAACCGAGGAAGGAAGTGGCTCATCACACCGCATTATCACACAGTTTGTCAAGGTGAGGCGGGGGTACTTTCTCTTTTATGTCACTTTTTTCCCATTTACAAAAATGTTTTGCCAATCGAGCACTGAAAGTGGGTATATTGTTTAACATTTGGGGCGCATGAATATGGACATTATCTGTAAGAAATAAGAACACTATGACAGTGCTCCTCTGAGGATTTGTCAGTAACCTCTCCCCTGTCATTTCCCCTGCAGTGTCTCCAGAACCAGTCCAGTGACATCAGGCTGGTGTCGGAGCGGGTGCTGTGGTGGGTGTTTAAGGACAAGGCCACGCCCTCCCTGGAGCCCGCCCTCATCAAGCCTCTAGTGAAGAGCCTGCTGGACAACACCAAGGACAAGAACACCAGCGTCAGAGCCCAGAGTGAACACACCATCGTCAGCCTGCTCCGACTGCGGCAGGGAGAGCAGACCATGCAGGTCAGTGACACACACACACACACACAAATAAACATCCACACAGTCTCAATACTCATTATAAAGAGGACTATACCTGGCCTGATGGATTTAAGTTGTGCATTGTGCATCTGGTGTACTTATCCAATAATATGCAAATCTCTCACTCTGTAATGTTATGTTTCTCTTTCAGAGCGTTAGTGCCATCCTTGACTCCGCAAGTAATGACCTGCTGTCTGACTGTCACCGCCGCTCCCTGAAGAAGATCTCTAGTCTTCCAGACTCTAACGAAGAGATTGACGACACCATCCTCACGTGATGGGCAGGACAGATCACAGCTTGACAAATCCATGCTGTTGCTCATGTACTCAGAAAAGACCTCCACAGCAATCATGAAAAACTCTGCTGTTACGTCTTACAAATAAATACATCTATGGAGAGAGCCCTCACACACACATACATCCCCATTAACTCCATGTTATCCATGGACCAAGGAAAAGTATGAACTTACTCGCTTTACTTCATATTCCCCCCTCTTTGGACAATTATTTTATTTGTTGTTTTAGTGGCTCTATAAACATACATTTAGAATATTTGTTTCATCTCACAAAGTGCAGTTAAAACTCCTGAGTGAGCTCACTGCATAAAGAAAGTAATTTGTGCCAATTCCTTTTTGACATTTAAATGTATTCAATATCCCTCTTATTTTATTGCATTTATTTCGAGCATCACTGACACCAGTTTAACAAAGCAGCAATTACATTTCTCCCATTGCTTTTCCTCTGGGTTTTATACCTGCTTTTGTGTGTGTGGGGAATGCAACCTGTTATCTTTATGATAAAGTTGATATTCTAATCAATTATACGGTTGTAAAAAAAATCAAATAAAGACCTTGATTTGATAATGGTTTTGACTGTCTGAATTAACTCAATATTTTTGCCACCATGTGAACGTCACTCATTATCTGTATCTAATTGCATTCACAAGTATACAACACAAGTTACACAAATTGGATGTAGATGCAGAGAAGTATGCCTTAGTTAAATGAGTGAAAAACTTACTGCCTGTGACTTCGATACACATGAGACTGGATGTGGTGCGTTTTAGCAATGAATTGTGTTGCTCCGATTGCAGTCTGTCTAGGTCAAAGGTGTAGAGTTATTTAGGAACAAATGGAAAGGTGCAAACCTGAAGTCAACAGCACCCTGCATGGTGACTTGAATCAATGGGCCCGAATGGATTAGTGGTACCACTTTGTCGTGCGTCTGCGCAGTGAGCCTGGGTCGCGTACGGTTGGGTGCACAGTGCAGTAACGACCAGAGAAGGAAGCGGAGTTTCCGGCTATTTGCAGCGGAGGGGGAGGATTGCTGACACTGCGAATCCCCGATAAAAAAGCCGCCGGCTCGGGGGCTAGCAATTCGGCATCGGAAGTAATCATTCTCATTCATATCGGGGGTAGGGTTGGTGAATTACAAGCCAAGGGTACAGAGAGGAAGACCAGAGTAACAGCAAAAGGCGGGGTGACCCACCAACTACCGGCATGGCCAGGGACTACGATTACCTCTTCAAGCTGCTCATCATCGGTGACAGTGGTAAGCGAATACCGGGGATGTGTGACGGGAAATGGGCCTTTCCAGGTTTTTACACGATGAGTCGCAGAAATGTAGGTCGAGGTTCATAACGTGATTTTGGACTCATTTTTAAGTTGACGTCTTCGTTCGTATGTGTAGTTTTAAAAGTCTGCATGCAATATTTTCGAGCAATGGGGAGAGCGGTGACTAGGGCGGAGGTTGTGTATAGCAGGCTGGGCATGTCAGCCGATCAGGCCGGATATCGCTCGCTGCACGATAGCGTTTAGCACTGGGACGAATTCCACCCATTCTAAGAATGTTTGTTATTTAGCGGGATACTTTGCTACCTAACTATTATGGTATTCCAAGTATGTACATTGTAGCTAAAGGTTTTCCTTATTTCGTACAGCTAGCCAAGTGTTGTTAGTTTGCTAGTTATAGGTACACTACTACAGTCGCTAGTAAGCTAACTATATAGATAACATTAGAAGGTCAGCTAACGTTAGATACTTACTGGCTCGTGTTTTTATTTTGTTATCCCAATAGCTAGCGGCTCCCTTGAAGTTGTCAACCAACCGTTATCCTGCTGTGCCAGCTAGCTAGGTGACTTGTCAGTGTAGTAGTAAAAAAATTAATAGTTTAAGCAGTAGTTATGTTTATGTGATTGCATATTAAAATGTGAAGTGCAGAGTTGTTTACAAGAACCGTGGCTTGAATTATTTGTAGATGCTCCCTGGCTAGAGCCTAGTTGACAAATGAGGCAGTAATTAAACATTCTTACTATCAAGATCCAATTAAATGCAGAAGTCCAGAATATAAGGTATATTAGCTAAGAACAATATTACCACATCAAGTGCTGTTTTTTCCTACCTCATATTCATTAAACATTTTAAAGACCTTTACATTCAGGTAAGACCATAAATCCACATCAACATTGGCAACTCCACAATCACAATCCCTTTGTTAGGAAAGATCTGTTGACACTCCCGGCCCTGGCACTACCCCATCAGCTAGCTGATCACAATAGTGGGCAAGAAAGCAGCCCCCTTACTAACACAGACACACAGGGGCCTGTGTCCCCTCAACTGCAGTCTGGTACCAGTATTGGCACCGCTGTTATGAGATTCAGAGAAAATGTAAACCAATACTCAAATGCAAGTCCTGTCCCCTCCCCTGTCACACTTACACATGCAATTGTTGCTGAGATCGATCTGACACACACAGGGTTTAGGAGCTTCGATCAAGGGTCCCTTTCTGCACCTCGTGGTCCCTCTGCAGTTAATTGGTCAAGGAAAACCATTATTTGGACTGACAGAGGTCAAGTTTTGTATGACAACAACAAAGCAGAAACCAACTGGCACCCAGGCTACTGTGCCTCACCTTTGATTCCTGGTTTAAATACAGTATTGATGACGTACTGTATTTTGTGACATGTGCTTTTGCATATCATTGTCCTAGACACAGTCGTTTTTATAGGAGAGCAGGGACTATATTTTCACCAGCTAGGTACTCCTTCAGACCGGGCTGCACTGATAATAGTCCTCCCAGGTACCAGAGTTTCTACAGGTTTACCCTCGAGCCTGATTAAAAGGTAGCAAAGATATGGTGATGTGGTTGTTAATGGCCTGACAGATGAAAGTATTGTTACCCACAGAAAGAACACTATATCTGTTTCTTGTAGCTGTAAATAATGTTGTCTGGTGAAAGTGAACAAGAAGACTCAGTGAATGATCAGAGGGATTTGTTTTCTGATTGGCTTTTAACTCCGGACCAATCAACCGCTGCCAGGCACGATCACATTACCTTCAACTATCAACTGATTTGAGCTGTTAGTACCCCTGCCTGGACTCACAGTTCAGCTCTGACGTTTTGGCCATCTCCTCATCTGACAGTTGGCTAGCCGCCTGTCCGTGCCTCTTGGGGAATTTGCTGAAAGTGTTATCTTATTACTGATTGGTGCACAAATTACAAAGTCATTTGCAACACAGAATGTTATGAACTGTACCGGCATAATTTGTAGCAAAGCATCACCTCTATTATTGTGATCTTAAACCTACTAAAGGTTATGCAGAGTTCAGCTGTCACTGTCTTTTATACATAGGCTAGATAGCATGTATTTGTCTGAGTGCATGCTGTCAAGGCCTGGCTGACTGACTGTGCTAATATACACTACATTTTTATTTTTTTATTTCACCTTTATTTAACCAGGTAAGCCAGTTGAGAACAGGTTCTCATTTACAACTGCGACCTGGCCAAGATAAAGCAAAGTAGTGCAATAAAAACAACACAGAGTTACATATGGGGTAAAAAAAACATAAAGTCAGAAATACAACAGAAAATATATATACAGTGTGTGCAAATGTAGCAAGTTATGGAGGTAAGGCAATAAATAGGCTATAGTGCAGAATAATTACGATAGTATTAACACTGGAATGCTAGATGTGCAAGAGATGATGTGCAAATAGAGATACTGGGGTGCAAAAGAGCAAAATAAATAACAATATAGGGATGAGGTAGTTGGGTGGGCTAATTTCAGATGGGCTGTGTACAGGTGCAGTGATCGGTAAGATGCTCTGACAACTGATGCTTAAAGTTAGTGAGGGAGATAAGAGTCTCCAGCTTCAGAGATTTTTGCAATTCGTTCCAGTCATTGCCAGCAGAGAACTGGAAGGAATGGCGGCCAAAGGAGGTGTTGGCTTTGGGAATGACCAGTGAGATATACCTGCTGGAGCGCAGACTACAGGTGGGTGCTGCTATGGTGACCAATGAGCTAAGATAAGGCGGGGATTTGCCTAGCAGTGATTTATAGATGGCCTGGAGCCAGTGGGTTTGACGACGAACATGTAGTGAGGACCAGCCAACAAGAGCGTACAGGTCACAGTGGTGGGTAGTGTATGGGGCTTTGGAGACAAAACGGATGGCACTGTGATAGACTACATCCAATTTGCTGAGTAGAGTGTTGGAGGCTATTTTGTAAATGACATCGCCGAAGTCAAGGATCGGTAGGATAGTCAGTTTTACGAGGGCATGTTTGGCAGCATGAGTGAAGGAGGCTTTGTTGCGAAATAGGAAGCCGATTCTAGATTTAACTTTGGATTGGAGATTCTTTATGTGAGTCTGGAAGTTGAGTTTACAGTCTAACCAGACACCTAGATATTTGTAGTTGTCCACATACTCTAGGTCAGACCCGTCGAGAGTGGTGATTCTAGTCGGGTGGGCGGGTGCTAGCAGCGTTCGATTGAAAAGCATGCATTTAGTTTTACTAGTGTTTAAGAGCAGTTGAAGGCTACTGAAGGATTGTTGTATGGCATTGAAGCTCGTTTGGAGGTTTGTTAACACAGTGTCCAATGAAGGGCCAGATGTATACAAAATGGTGTCGTCTGCGTAGAGGTGGATCTGAGAGTCACCAGCAGCAAGAGCGACATCATTGATATACACGGAGAAAAGTGTCTGCCCAAGAATTGAACCCTGTGGCACCCCCATAGAGACTGCCATAGGTCCAGACAACAGGCCCTCCGATTTGACACACTGAACTCTATCTGAGAAGTAGTTGGTGAACCAGGCGAGGCAGTCATTTGAGAAACCAAGGCTATTTAGTCTGCCAATAAGAATGCGGTGGTTGACAGAGTCGAAAGCCTTGGCCAGGTCGATGAAGACGGCTGCACAGTACTGTCTATTATCAATCGTGGTTATAATATCGTTTAGGACCTTGAGCGTGGCTGAAGTGCACCCGTGACCAGCTCGGAAACCGGATTGCATAGCGGAGAAGGTACGGTGGTATTCGAAATGGTCGATGATCTGTTTGTTAACTTGGCTTTCGAATACTTTCGAAAGGCAGGGCAGGATGGATATAGGTCTGTAGCAGTTTGGATCTAGAGTGTCACCCCCTTTGAAGAGGGGGATGACCGCGGCAGCTTTCCAATCTCTGGGGATCTCAGACTTTATGAAAGAGAGGTTGAACAGACTAGTAATAGTAATAATATATAATAATAATAATAATAATAATAATAATAATAATAATAATAATAATAATAATAATAATAAATAGGGGTTGCGACAATTTCGGCGGCTAGTTTTAGAAAGAAAGGGTCCAGATTGTCTAGCCCAGCTGATTTGTAGGGGTCCAGATTTTGCAGCGCTTTCAAAACATCAGCTGTCTGAATTTGTGTGAAGGAGAAGCGGGGGGGGCATGGGCAAGTTGCAGCAGAGGGTGCAGAGTTGGTGGCCGGGTTAGTGGTAGCCAGATGGAAAGCATGGCCAGCTGTAGCAAAATGCTTGTTGAAATTCTCGATTATTGTAGATTTATCGGTGGTGATAGTGTTTCCTAGCCTCAGTGCAGTGGGCAGCTGGGAGGAAGTGCTCTTATTCTCCATGGACTTTACATGACCAAAAGTATGTGGACACCTGCTTGTCGAACATCTCATTCAAAAATCATGGGCATTAATATGGCGTTGGTCACCCCTTTGCTGCTATAACATCCTCCACTCTTCTGGGAAGGCTTTCCACTAGATGTTGGAACATTGCTGCGGGGACTTGCTTCCATTCAGCCACAAGCATTAGTGAGGTCGGGCACTGATGTTGGGCGATTAGGCCTGGCTCGCAGTCGGTGTTCCAATTCATCCCAAAGGTGTTTGATGGGGTTGAGGTCAGGGCTCTGAGCAGGCCAGTCAAGTTCTTCCACACCGATCTCGATAAACCATTTCTGTATGGACCTCACTTTGTGCACGGGGGAATTGTCATGCTGAAACAGGAAAGGGCCTTCCCCAAACTGTTGCCACAAAGTTGGAAGGACCGAATTGTCTAGTATGTCATTGTATGCTGTAGCGTTAAGATTTCCCTTCACTGGAACTAAGGGGACTAGCCCGAACCATGAAAAACAGCCCCACACCATTATTCCTCATCCACCAAACTTTACAGTTGGCACTATGCACTCAGGCAGGTAGCGTTCTCCTGGCATCCGCCAAACACCGATTTGTCCGTCGGACTACCAGATAGTGAAGCGTGATTCATCACTCCAGAGTCCAATGGCGGCAAGCTTTACACCACTCCAGCCGATGCTTGGCATTGCGCATGGTGATCTTAGGCTTGTGTGCGGCTGCTCGGCCATGGAAACCCATTTCATGAAGCTCGCAACGAACAGTTATTGTGCTGATGTTGCTTCCAGGGGCAGTTTGGAACTCGGTAGTGAGTGTTGTAACCTGAGGACAGGCGATTTTTACGCGCAGCGCTCGCCGGTCCCGTTCTGTGAGCTTGTGTGGCCTACCACTTCACGGCTGAGCCGTTGTTGCTCCTAGACTTTTCCACTTCACAATAACCGCACTTACAGTTGACCGGGGCAGCTCTAGCAGGGCAGAAATTTGACGAACTGACTTGTTGGAAAGGTGGCATCCTATGACGGTGCCACGTTGAAAGTCACTGAGCTCTTCAGTAAGGCCATTCTACTGCCAATGTTTGTCTATGGAGATTGCATGGCTGTGTGCTCGACTTTTATACACCTGTCAGCAACGGGTGTAGCTGAAATAGCCGAATCCACTAATTTGAAGGGATGTCCACATACTTTTGTGTATATATAGTGTACCTATACCACAGAGGTCAGGAGACTCACCAGCCTATTTTAAGGTGGTTATGATCCTCTGTTATTCCTCCTGGCTCTTTCATGGTTAGAGAAAAACAGACCTGTGGAAATCTGATGACTCCTTGGTGGCAAGCATATGTCTACAAAACATAACGCGAAGTCAGATAAACCTACATCTTCCTTCAAATTAGCTTACTCATTGAAACCTGTGTAGCCTAAATGTCATAATTAAAGGGTGGTAAGAAATCAAATCTCCTGAGTTGTAAGCCTTTTTAATCTGACTCTCAACCTGTCATTTTCTCTTCATTTCAGGAGTGGGGAAGAGCAGTCTCCTTCTGCGGTTTGCAGACAACACATTTTCAGGTAAGAGTAAATATTACTCCTAACCCCCCTAGCAGGTTATGAGTTGTTTGTTCTAATTTAGTTGAACAACTGTCCAACCCATACTACGTACAGTGAGTATTTGCCTTGCAAAATCAGACACTGGGTCTCATAACTAGTTGTTTTTTTGTGTTTCCAGGTAGCTACATCACCACGATTGGAGTGGACTTCAAGATCCGGACAGTGGAGATCAATGGGGAGAAGGTGAAGCTGCAGATCTGGGATACGGCAGGACAGGAGCGCTTCCGCACCATCACCTCCACGTATGTACAGGCAGGGGCGACTAACACACACACTAACACACACACGCACACTAACACATGGAGAGCTGCAGCATTTTTTATGAGGCCAACTTTGACGATAGTTCTGAAAGACTAGAATAGCTTCCATGCTCTTTTTGGAAACTGATGGAATTTCCCACAGACAAATTTTAGTAAGAGGTGGTTTTTAGTCACAGAATTATAGGACGGTAAAGGTTGGAGCTCTCTGACTTGGGTGTCATCCCCATGGATTTGCTTGACCTTGTTTCAAGTGAAGAATTTGTGCCAATGGGATTTCTTTTTGACATTTTCTTGTCCTTGCCCCCATTGTCCGCATGTTTTCCTTTTCTGTCCGTTGTGTATCTCGGCTCCATGTTTGACAGATAATTACTTATGTGCAGTGTGGAGCCTGGGTTTCCAGGTATAGAGTGGAAGACATTCCTCTCTGAATTCATCTTATTATTTTTTGTTTATTTTTACTATTACATTTACATTTTACATTTTAGTCATTTAGCAGACGCTCTTATCCAGAGCGACTTACAGTTAGTGCATACATTATTATTTTTCATACCCCCTGTGGGAATCGAACCCACAACCCTGGTGTTGCAAACGCCATGCTCTACCAACTGAGCTACATCCCTGCTACCCCATGTATTTTCTCTCAAGCAAGGGCTTCCTAATCTGCACTGGATGAGAGAGTGTGCCCTGCCTTTCTCCTCTCTGTCATGATAAATATGTGTAGTAATGAGCAGTTAGTGTTCCTGAACAAAAATGCAGTCACTCAGGAGGGTGGACTAAAGGTCTGTGAGCTAGTGAGCATTACCTAACAACCGTCTGACTCTCACTGCTCTGTTTGACATGGATAGGACAGCGTATAAAAAATACATTCACCCCTTTGGACTTTGACAAGGACTGTACAGTACTTTGACACTGTTTGGCTTTGATGACCTGCGACTATGACAGAGTGGAGATAGTAAAAACCTTGGTGCTTTGGCCATTCACTCAATTTACAATAATGACAGTGAGGAACTAACAAAGGTGTTGAGAAAGAGAGGCATTTGAACTTGTGTATTTTTCCGCAAAGCCCCCTGGGAAATTTGTCAATTTACACTCAGAAACAGAGCTGCTGGTTTTCCTGTGGGAATACCTCTACAAGTCTCCAGCATGGAGTCAGTGTGTGTGTGCTGCTGAACTGAGGGAACCTGGCTGGCTGTGTGAGGAGGGAGGTGGAGAGTGCTGCTGCTGGGTTGTTTTCGCTGTTTGTTAATTGTGGAGAAGTAGAGTGGCATGGTGCCTCATTAGGTCTAAGTGAATATCAGGATAGAGATGGCTCACAGAGCCCTGTGTGCTGTAGTGGGAAACCCCATCTCCGTAAGGTAAATGGTCAACCCAGCCAGGGTGTGTTTTGCCATATGTCCTTCTGTCATGCAGTCACAGTCCAGTAGCTGCCATATGTCTGTCTGTGTGTCTTTGTAGTGGACAGCAGCCTGTGTGTTGTGTTGTGCGTGTACTGTTTAGGTGATGTGTGTTGGGAGGGACTGGGAGTCTGGCTCCAGCGCCTGCTGTGTGTTTGTGGTTCTCCATTAATCTGTGCAGAACACCCCCGCTGACTGGTCCATTACTGCTGGGCTGAGTGAGACAGACAACACTTCTGTCAGGCCAATACAATGACACACACACACACACACACACACCCCTTTGAAAGGCCTATTGTGCTTTTCGTGTGTATGGTGCAGTCAGATTGGGGATGCAACCTCATTCTGGGTCCTAGTCAAACTTATTCAGACTTTTTTTTTTCATGAATACTGTGGATGTCCTCTACTTCCAGCTCTGTATAGCCTATATACAGGTAACTGCCAAAATAAAGGAAACACCAACATAAAGTATCTTAATAGGACGTTGGGCCACCAACAGCCGCCAGAACATCTTCAGTGCGTCTTGGCATAGAATTTACAAGTGTCTGGAAATCTATTGGAGGGATGTGACACCATTCTCCCACGAGAAATTCCATCATTTGGTGTTTTGTTGTTTATGGTGGTGAAAAACGCTGTCTCAGGCACCGCTCCAGAATCTCCCATAAGTGTTCAGTTGGGTTGAGATCTGGTGACTGAGACACACACACACCCTTTAAACCCCCTACGCTCCTTTGAGACCCTTCTTTCAAAGTCACTGAGATCTCTTCTTCTAGCCATGGTAGCCAAAATAATGGGCAACTGGGCATTTTTATACATGACTCTAAGCACGATGTGATGTTATTTGATTAATTAACGCAGGAACCATACCTGTGTTGAAGCACCTGCTTTCAATATACTTTGTATCCCTCATTTACTCAAGTGTTTCCTTTATTTTGGCAGTTACCTGTACATCAGTCTTTGTCATAATCCTCTGGACTCTAGTCTTCAAAGGAAAACTGTGATGAGCATTATCCCTGGCTTCCTGCTGACCGTTGCCCCTCCCTGCCTCAGAGACACTCCTTCCTGCTGACCGTTGCCCCTCCCTGCCTCAGAGACACTCCTTCCTGCTGACCGTTGCCCCTCCCTGCCTTAGACACTCCTTCCTGCTGACCGTTGCCCCTCCCTACCTCAGAGATACTCCTTCCTGCTGACCGTTGCCCCTCCCTACCTCAGAGATACTCCTTCCTGCTGACCGTTGCCCCTTCCTGCCTCAGACACTCCTTCCTGCTGACCGTTGCCCCTTCCTGCCTCAGACACTCCTTCCTGCTGACCGTTGCCCCTCCCTGCCTCAGACACTCCTTCCTGCTGACCGTTGCCCCTCCCTACCTCAGAGATACTCCTTCCTGCTGACCGTTGCCCCTCCCTGCCTCAGAGACACTCCTTCCTGTTCTCATCCTTTCAGGAACACTACAATTAATATGGATTATTGAACTCTGAGCGGCATGTGGAGTTGGTGTATGTTATACTCTTTCAGTTAATTTTGCCTGTTTATAGGAATGACAAAAGGAAATAAATGATTGTTTATATTGTGCCATTTATTGGAAATGGTCTAAGTCTATGGGATCATAAAGAAGTATTTCTACTTGCTGTGAGCATGGGCAGTCCTTTGCTCATTTGTCTTCAATCGTACTCTTTGCTTTGTTAACACCAGTTAATTGAAATCTCCAATGTGTGTTTGTGTAATAGTGTGACTCTGTTCTCTCCAAGTTGGGCTCCCCCTATTGGACTTGAGATCAACATGCTGACTGCTCTCTCTTTCTGTCTCTGTCTCCAGATACTACAGGGGAACGCATGGGGTCATAGTGGTATATGATGTCACGAGTGCCGAGTCCTTTGTCAATGTGAAACGATGGCTTCATGAAATCAACCAGAACTGTGATGACGTATGTCGAATATTAGGTGAGTCCAGTCCACCTGTTGCAGCAGGGACCCTTGCTTAGGGCCGTATGAAATCCTTGATGCACCAATCTAGACATTAAAATGGAATTCAATTAAAACATTTGTTGAACTTAATAGAACATTTATTGAACTAATTAGAAAAGTAGTTCATTTGCACAAGTTTCTCATAAGACATTAAAAGAATGAAGAAGCAACAACTCCCGAGTGGCGCAGGGGTCTAAGGCACTGCGATGCAGTGATAGCTGTGCCACTAGAGATCCTGGTTCGAATCCAGGCTCTGTCGTAGCCGGCCGTGACCGGGAGACCCATGGGGCGGCGCACCATTGGACGCCAGGGTTGTGGGTTCGATTCCCACGGGGGGCCAGTATGAAAAATAAAATAATGTATGCACTCACTAACTGTAAGTCGCTCTGGATAAGAGCGTCTGCTAAATGACTGAAAATGTAAAATGTAATTGGAATGCCCCTGTCTGTGTGCTGCAAAAAAAAAATGGTGTAATTTTGAGAGTGAAAAACTTAAAATAATCTGAAACCAGGAAAAACTAAACTGAAGAATCTGGAAAGAAAATGCAACAGATTTTAACGGTTCCTACATGCATTTGAGCGGAAAGATCAAAAGGTCTTCCTTTTCCTATTGTCCCTCAGTGGGAAACAAGAATGATGACCCCAACTCAAAGGTGGTGGAGACGACTGACGCACAGAAGTTTGCAGAGCAGATGAGCATCAACCTCTTTGAGACGAGTGCAAAAGAGAACATAAATGTTGAAGAGGTAAGTCATTGGTCAGGGGCCCTCTAATATTAGTAATGGGAAGTTGAGGGTATACCTCTCCCTCATCCAAAACAAGGTAGTTGATTGTTTACCATATTGTGTTTTGTGAATTCCCCACAGATGTTTAACTGTAGTTGATGGTGTTCACCATGTTGTTTTTGTGGTTTGCCCACAGATGTTTAACTGCATCACAGAGCTAGTGCTGAGAGCCAAGAAGGAGGTGATGGCCAAGCAGCAGCAGCAGCAGAAACAGAATGACGTGGTCAAACTCACCAAGAACAGTAAACGAAAGAAAAAGTGCTGCTAGCGAACTCAAACCCACTCACAAAGTCCAGCAGCGTCTGTTCCAGAGAACACACACAGGATGGGACTCCAAGCATCTAAATTAAGACGAGATAGATTTAATAAATATACGATGAAAAAAAAGTCCCCTTTGGACAAACAAATCATGAAGACTTAAAAAAATACATGTACAGATTTTATTAGAAGTCAGAAGTTTTATTTGGAATTCAGCAGATGAGCACTATTTAACAGTGATCCTCCTTTCTTGAAGGATCTGCAAGCAGACAAGTGATGGCCATAATGCTCAGATTTCTATATGCCTATACAAATATTCTTACATCGGTATCTATTTTGTCCTTGTCATTACACTTCACACGGGATATTATGAGTCAAGTGAAACTCTGCACCTGAAGTGGAGGACTCACTTTTTTGGATGATTTTTAGTTTTGGGGGAGGGGGTTCACAACCTTTGTACATTTTTATTTTGACATTTCAGACACCTGTATGGCTCATCCCAACCCATTATAAACTTCTAGTTTGTTTTTGGACTTGATGGGGAAAAAATCATGAGGATGATGATTGATAGGCAACCATTAGCAGCGAATCTAAAGGACAGAACTGGTGACTTCTATCTTATCTTTGGTTATCTTTTTTTGCCAAGCTTTTTCTCCTCTTCCCTTTAATCTCCAGCCAACGATCGGTTTTTAGAGCGATGTTCAGAGCAGTGAACCACTCCCATGGCCCTGGCTGGGAGACAATGCTCTGCCATCACCACTCACTGCAGTCTTATTGTGCGCTAAGTTTGCTTTTAAAAGAAAAAAAATCGTCCACTTTTTTAAAACAATGATACTGCCAATATGATGTGAATGAAAGAGTTAGAAGCTCTGTGTCTCCCCCTATTGGACTGTTGCCATAGAAGCCCAATGGGTGTAGTAGTTTGGGGTTAGGGTCTGTAGGGGCCCGGGTAGCCCTCAGGGAGAGAGCCCAGGAACCACTCTCTCTAACCACACTCCGGCCTCTCTACTCCCATGCACCAAACACCTCATATCAACACCTCTCACAGCTATGGATTCAACCCCGTTAGCTGCAGTCAGTTGTGGGGCATTTTAATTATAACATCTTTATCAGTGCAGGGTGCATTTGGTTTGTGCCAGGAGGAAATGGGAGGTTTATTGTAGTTGGTGCAGTGACCCTGATCCATAGCAGACTGTGGTTAGCCTTGTGTGTGTGTGTGTGTATGTTCAGCACGTAACACTGTTTGAAGGGGTATGTATAAGGTATCTGATATGCATTTTAGTATTCATAAACTATCAAGGAGCTTGCAAAATGTTCTGAACTGTTAACACGTGTATGCCTGGTGGTGTCGTCATGTTTTTATCTAGGACTTGTCACTATCTGGTTACCTGTTTAACTGAAGTCTTACTATCCAGTGTTCTGCTTGACTGTGAGTGTGTGGCAGGCTGGCAGTGAGAGACAGGTTCCTCCCTGAGGGTCTGCTATGGGGGAGCATTAGTGATGGAGAAATAGGAACCTTGACCTCAGCACTTTCCTACACACATCGGGGCCCTGAATACCTCTCCCTCTGCTTGAGGGTAACTGGTGTAGGCTGAGGTGGCCATGATGTGGGTTTGGGAAATCTCTATGTGACCGTAACCAGACAACCATTGAGGTGGGAAACATGACAGTGCCACAACCTGAGCTCAGGGTGATGCAAGCCAAGCAGTGGAGAAAGGGTATCAAATTCCAGACTGTATGATTTCTATTCATTATGTGTATGTATGTGTATATAAATATAGTTGTGTGTTTATATTCAATATATAGAACATACACACATTCGCACACATAATTGTGCATGCATTGACATGCATTGTGTGCTATGGTTGAAACACACTTATCAGCTGTGGTTTGCTGTACACTGGAGAAAAGAGATGTACTATTCCGTTCCCCTACATGAATTTAATCAATAAACGTTTTAAAAGAATAAATATTTGACAAAATGACTGATCTCTTGTCAATGATTTGAAGCTTGGTCTTGATTCTTTTTGAGCTTCTGTCTTGCTTTTTGTGAAACTATGTAGGAATTGTGCCACTTAAATATCTCAGATAAAGCTGTTTTATTCTTTGTTGTTGACCACAATGAAGCTATATGAACTCACAGTGTAGGTCATTCATTTATTTTGACTAAGTGGCATGATAAATGGAGTTTTGTCCATATATGGAGTGGAGCCAAAGTAAGAACACTACCAATACATTTTCTTTATTTCTGTCCCCATTTTATTTTCTCATAGTGGCCTCCACATATAGAAAGACATTTGTTGGGTGCACTCTTTCCCTTAGAAAATTGCTATAAAAATCATTTCTCATTTACAATGTTTGGATATTTTTTCCCCCATTACTAAAAATAGTAATTTGCTATGAATATAAAACCATACTCTTACACATTCCTTCCATCATAAATATTATGTACCTCTTTATGAAAGTGTCATCAATATAGGAAAAACGAGTTTGCCATGTCATATGTCCAATATTTGAATGAGTATGCATATTCATAATGTGTAAATACATATACATCCACACTTACACATATGAAACCTGTGTCAAGTCATATAGCTTTATGTAATTTCTCTTTTGTTCACTTAACATTTCAAACTGAATGTCTTTGATACTAAGTTCACTTGTGATCTGGAATATTGCCTTTCAGTGTCATGACAGTGTACATTATCCATATTCAATTGACTGGGGCGGGGTATAAGGTCCCTTACCATTACAGAAAAGATTTAATGTGTCAGGAGAGAGAGGGTGAGCTGGTTAAGTTCTGTACCACATTCATTTATGAAGGATAAATGGCAAAAGTGTAATTATTGATGATTGTCCACTAATGAGGTTGACATGAAGCTATGTTTCTTACCCTATGTCTATAGTGGTGAGTCAGGGGGGAAATGGGTGTACTGATGCAAAAATAATCTTTACCAAGACCTTCCACAGATTGCCCAAATTCATGGTCAATTACCTATTTTGAAGGCTCCAGGCATTTTGGCAACCCAAACAATGTTTGTCATTGGTGGTTGAAAAAGGACAAACACACACTGAGACCAAGTGAAATTCCGAAGAACAGGACCCGTAAGGACAAGCAGGTGACACACACCATGGAATGTCTGCTTTTTCCACAACATGCACACACACACAAACACTCAACGCAAGAGAACATCTCTTCCCTCAGCATTCAGGATGGTTAACAGTTAATAAGATTGAGGACAGGAGACAGGCTTTAAAAATAGTATTCAAATGAAAAATGAAAACAATACAATTGACAGTAATTTTGGACATAACATATACATGAAGAGTACATAACATTAAACTGAAAAAACAAATACATGGATGGAAATTACAGGCCAGAGCTCTTGAACCGACCCTCCCTGAATGAACAGAATGGCCAAACTTTTAGACCAGAGGCCATGCCCAGGAACACCTGGTGCCAACAGGCCATGAGGCTGAGTTCAAGACCTCAGCTCTGTAACATCACAAAAAACTACAGAATTGTGTTGTTTTTTTCACCAAGGACACAAGGATATGAGAACTAACATTCTGGTCATGGTAAGTGTTGTTTGATCCAGTTCGTAATATAGGTAAATGCTCCATCCATGTTCAACCAACCCATAGCTTGGCCTGCAGAATATACTTCTCATCACTCCGTTCTGAGGCTGCAGTCTAGCTGTGTGTGGTTGGCTTCATGCCCAATATAATAATGTCGCCAGTTAGTGCCTTTCCGAGCTGACCAGCTCCTGGAGTTACACCCCCTTAACCATGCCCTCAGATCAATACAACACCACAGTTGCTTAGACTACAGACAAAAAGACAGAACTCGTTCCTTTACCCTCTTAGAAAAAAATCTAGAACCTAAAAGGGTTATTGGCTGTCCCCATAGGAGAACCCTTTGTAGAACCCTTTTGGGTTCCATGTAAAATCCTCTGTGAAAACATGGAACCCAAAAGGGTTCTACCTGGAACCAAAAAGTGTTCTATGGGGACAGCCGAAGAACCCTTTTGGAACCCTTTTATCTGAGAGTGTAACTGTAGGCTGGAGTGAAGGCTATGGTAGCAACTCTTACTTTGTAGAAAATGTCACTTTTGATTCAAACATTGGTCGACTGACTCACAGAATCCTAACTTGTGATTCAAGAGCATAACCCTAACTTCGACAACATTCTGTGATTTGGTGAAAGTTAGAATGACTTATTACTTGGACAGAACTGAACAGTCACATGAAGAACATAGAATCTCCACCCTCCTACACATCACCCCTCCTCTCCCTTTCCATAGCGATCCCAATTTGAATGTAAACACTCAAAACACAAAACAAAACTACTGGAACAATGAAATAATTATTCTAAAAAGAAAGAGTACATTTTAATTGTCTGCATTTATAAATATATTGATTTCATCCAAACCTACTCTCAACTCTTTAAAAATAACCCTTCTTTGGGTTGATCCTAACCAACAACCTAACTAATTGAGATGGTGAGAAGACATCTGCATAGGTTTGCTCAGGTGCTCTAGATATGACTTCCCATACCCAGACAGAGGTCAGAAGACTGTGCCAGTCTTGTTTTCAAACGCGCCATGAGGGTTCAAATGCATCACATTTATCTACACAGACTCTACAAATATGGAGTCACAGATTCTGTATGTCTGGCCTGAATGGAAGCCCAAAAGCTAGGAAATAAAGTGTCCACTATCATAAGTTTTGAAGCAATGGGAATGGCAGTAGACCATCTATATTACTGTGACACTATAGCTAAAGCACTCTGTAGGCCCTGTCAATAGGGTTTCCTGTGGAACTCGATTGGTGGTAGCTGACTGAGTAGGTTACTAAATCAATACCACATTTGTGTTCCAATTAATGGAAATTTGACAATTAACTATAGCACAATATGGATGCCTTTGACTTGCCAAAGTTAGGCACTGCAGAAGTATTGAGAGACCGTTTTGACTTCCCCTTTCTCACGCTAGCCTAATGTAAACATTTCTGAGGATTTGGTTAGCTAGGAGAAAGATACATGATGATCGCCATTGTACAGACAATGTTTGAAAATACAGTTTTCTTATCACTTTTTGTATGTCAAATGTATGCTAAATGTGGCATTCTAACTGTAGAAGTCCACCTGGATAGAGGCTGCAACTAACGCCAGCTGCCCAGAGGTTTATTCAGATGTCAGAGACTGACAAGAGGCCTGTGTAGAAATGTCCACGGACCTGAGATAGACCCATAATCACTTTGACTGGTTTTTATACACTCAGTGCTTGGTAAATGTAACTGACACTTTGTCATGCTGTGGTTGCTCAGTCAGTATTGAGTATGATCTGAGGTAAACTTATGATCGATATACAGTGGGGAAAAAAAGTATTTAGTCAGCCACCAATTGTGCAAGTTCTCCCACTTAAAAAGATGAGAGAGGCCTGTAATTTTCATCATAGGTACATGTCAACTATGACAGACAAAATCAGAAAAAAAAATCCAGAAAATCACATTGTAGGATTTTTAATGAATTTATTTGCAAATTATGGTGGAAAATAAGTATTTGGTCAATAGCAAAAGTTTCTCAATACTTTGTTATATACCCTTTGTTGGCAATGACACAGGTCAAACGTTTTCTGTAAGTCTTCACAAGGTATTCACACACTGTTGCTGGTATTTTGGCCCATTCCTCCATGCAGATCTCCTCTAGAGCAGTGATGTTTTGGGGCTGTGGCTGGGCAACACTGACTTTCAACTCCCTCCAAAGATTTTCTATGGGGTTGAGATCTGGAGACTGGCTAGGCCACTCCAGGACCTTGAAATGCTTCTTACGAAGCCACTCCTTCGTTGCCCAGGCGGTGTGTTTGGGATCATTGTCATGCTGAAAGACCCAGCCACGTTTCATCTTCAATGCCCTTGCTGATGGAAGGAGGTTTTCACTCAAAATCTCACGATACATGGCCCCATTCATTATTTTCTTTACACGGATCAGTCGTCCTGGTCCCTTTGCAGAAAAACAGCCCCAAAGCATGATGTTTCCACCCCCATGCTTCACAGTAGGTATTGTGTTCTTTGGATGCAACTCAGCATTCTTTGTCCTCCAAACACGACGAGTTGAGTTTTTACCAAAAAGTTATATTTTGGTTTCATCTGACCATATGACATTCTCCCAATCCTCTTCTGGATCATCCAAATGCACTCTAGCAAACTTCAGACAGGCCTGGACATGTACTGGCTTAAGCAGGGGGACACGTCTAGCACTGCAGGATTTGAGTCCCTGGCGGCGTAGTGTGTTACTGATGGTAGGCTTTGTTACTTTGGTCCCAGCTCTCTGCAGGTCATTCACTAGGTCCCCCGTGTGGTTCTGGGATTTTTGCTCACCGTTCTTGTGATCATTTTGACCCCACGGGGTGAGATCTTGCGTGGAGCCCCAGATCGAGGGAGATTATCAGTGGTCTTGTATGTCTTCCATTTCCTAATAATTGCTCCCACAGTTGATTTCTTCAAACCAAGCTGCTTACCTATTGCAGATTCAGTCTTCCCAGCCTGGTGCAGGTCTACAATTTTGTTTCTGGTGTCCTTTGACAGCTCTTTGGTCTTGGCCATAGTGGAGTTTGGAGTGTGACTGTTTGAGGTTGTGGACAGGTGTCTTTTATACTGATAACAAGTTCAAACAGTTGCCATTAATACAGGTAACGAGTTGAGGACAGAGGAGCCTCTTAAAGAAGAAGTTACAGGTCTGTGAGAGCCAGAAATCTTGCTTGTTTGTAGGTGACCAAATACTTATTTTCCACCATAATTTGCAAATAAATTCATTAAAAATCCTACAATGTGATTTTCTGGATTTTTTTTTCTGATTTTGTCTGTCATAGTTGACATGTACCTATGATGAAAATTACAGGCCTCTCTCATCTTTTTAAGTGGGAGAACTTGCACAATTGGTGGCTGACTAAATACTTTTTTCCCCCACTGTACATAAAGACAATTTTGGATTTACTGTGGCTTGATCTGGACATTTACACTTCTGTCTTATTTTTGTGAATGCAAAAGTTCAGTGATTTTGGTGTGTTGTGTTAGAGCTACCTTTAACTCTATTAACCAATGCTATGGCATGACCATAATTGCGAAGTGCATACCAATTGAATAAAGTCCATCCATTGGACTGTATTGATTGGGAATAAGGCCTCTTTGTAAATCCCTGAACACCTGAATAAACCTGAAAACATGTCTGAGTTAGCTGTAACAATGCTGCTTCCCACCCAGAGGCTGGTCCTTGTCCTTCTCGCCCTTACCCAGATCACTGGCCCACCGTCCCAATCCCTCGACTCCAAGGCCTTGGTGAGTCCCGTATTGAACACCCTCTCCCCAGACTCCTTGGCCTGTGGCAGTACACAGGAGTCAGCCCTACTGTATGGATACACTCCCAGTCTGGAGTTTTGGCAGTGGGGTAAAGACGCTGGGAGGCACTACTGGGGAACGGACCTCTTTGGAGGTAATATATGTAACCCTGTTAATGTAAGCACAATGGGTGTTTATGGGATTGTAGCCAAGGCCTCTGGGGGTGTCTTACAGTGCTACTCACTCATTCTCTAAGTGTCTGTAAGGAAGGGCGTGATGGGACAGATAAAGTGCAAATGACCTCTGAACCCTTTAGCCCCCCTGTCTGATAGTCTGTATCACTGCCCTTTGTCTTTGGCTTTACTGTCTTTACTCTTTCTCCCTCTGCACTCTCTTTTTCTTGTTATTTTCTCTCATGTTCACTTGGGCCAGTCCAGAGGCACTCAGTTCTTTTTGAAGAAGGAAAAGAGCCTCTTCTCCCCATCGGAGAGACGATGGGCTCGTCTGGAGGACTGGCCGGAGGGGCCCCCGCGACCCCCAGAGGGCCCGGCAAGGGAGTAGGGGGTCACCCTCCACTCCTCCTGGTGCTTTTCCATAAGCTGCTGATCAATCATACTGTGCATATCATCCTAAGAGAGAGAAAGACAGAATGAATGAGTGACTGAGAGAGAGAGAGAGAGAGAGAGAGAGAGAGAGAGAGAGAGAGAGAGAGAGAGAGAGAGAGAGAGAGAGAGAGAGAGAGAGCACAGTAGAGTGATAGATAGGTAAAGGGAATGTGAGGGTATGTTAAAGTGGACAGGGGTTTTTAGAGAAGAGAAACAGCAGGCAGGAGGATGGTGTGACGGATTGGCATGGAAGTGGGTGGTTTTGGGTGATCAAATGGATCAAATGGCTTAGAATGGGTGAGCGTATTTCTGTTGAGTCAGCAGGCCATGGCATGGAATGGCTCAGCGTGGCATGGAAGAGTCGCACAGGACAGAACCAGGGCAAGATGGAACACCTCACCTCTAATGCAGTGGGGGGGAGGGGGGGTACCACAGGGGAGAAAGGGTGGTACGGAAGCTGAGAAAGGCCACTAGATCAGAAACCACAAGAGCCACACAGTAAAGAGCCCTGAGGAGGCAAACTGCAGCCAGGGAAAGAGAGAGGAAAGAGCTGCTAGTTACGGGTGAGGGAGGGGAGGGAAAGACACATACACAAGTCCTCAATTTAGTTAGTTAGCTACTAGTCCTACTTGCTGAATTGTTTGCAGTATGTTCAATGAAAACCCAAGGTTGAAACTCATTGAGGTTTCAATGAGGAGTGTATTAGTTCTTCAGACACTTGTGTAAATTGCTGACTCAGAGTACGTACAGTATTGTACATGTTAACACATACACACACTTTGGACAGTGGTAAATTAGAGGAGAGGACAGGATGTGGTGGGGAAAAGATCACCAGACACACATTTTCACCTAAACCTACAACTGTACATTTCAGTCCACTAGTATACTCTTATTTAATGAATAAAATACAGTACACATTAATAATGATAATTGCTGTGTGAATGTAATCATTCATACATTTTGTCATTCGTACACATTTGAGCTGTCAGATACACATTCATATGGTATCTGTTATTATAACTATCAGTTTGACAGTCCATTCAGTTTGACAGTCCATTCAGTTTGAAAGTCCATTCAGTTTGACAGTCCATTCAGTAACAACCAGAGGACAACAATGGAAATAAGTTGTTCAACTTTATTGTGTTATCCTCCATTATTCTAAATACAGTGTATCCACGTGTGGCTGAATTGTGTTTTAAATAGTCCAAAAATTCAAATGAAATAACTCATACTATGAGTCTAGTGTGCCCCCTCATGAACCCTGACCTCTGACCCACCTGCCAGGCCTCCAGCTGCTGTGATAGGTTCAGCTTCTGCTGGATGGCGTCCAGGAGCTGGCTGTTCAGAGACATGATATCTATCTTACACTTGGCCAGCTCCATCTCCACCGCTTTCTTCCTGTTAGGCAGACAGACACACAGCTTAGAGACAGACAACACCGCTCTAGTTTCTTTGCTCTCATTATGTTGAATGAGAGTTTATGACTGGCCTGCTTATTCGGGAGATTAATGTAAAACATCAAATTGTTGTTATATGCTAGCCTATTACATACAGGGCAAACATACATGTGGTTGTGCCCAAAAAATGTGCTATGTAAATGTGGTCTTACTTGGAAATAGCGTCATCTCGGTCTCGTATAGCACTTTGGAGCTGTTCACTGGGGTCTCGTGCTTCAGACATGGCCCTCATACGCTCACTCTCCTCCTGTACAGAGCACATCTCCACAGAGAGCATCGCCATCTTCAGGACAGGGGAGGAATGACATAGGAGACACTCATCAGACACTTTGTCAACCTCATGAGTAAGAAATCACATCTGTGTCTTGCTTGAATAACAACGCTGTGTTGAAATGATCTTGTTCAAGAACAACACTGAAGATAAAGCTCTGTGAGCAGTAGTACCTGATTATGGAGTTGTAGAACCTCTTCTTGGCTGTTCCGTGTTCTATCCTGCTCTGCTTCGTACAGCTCTCTCACTCCTCTCAGCTCTTCCCCAAGTTTTCGAACCTGGTCTTCTAGAGCCTCCTCGTCACTATGCCGAGAACCCTGCTCACACACAACCACAACAACACACATAGATTCATTATATTGTGAATTCAGGTCAAACTCAACTCAATTCATTTGGAGTTGTTTTGAGTATGTACTGAATATCGCACACTCTTTATTGGATGCATGGAGGAACTATATATCTGTATAGTATATCTGGTCAGTATTTTCGTATGTATATCTGTGTGAAAGGTCAGTACCGTGGACTCGTTGCCGTCTAGCAGGTTCTGTGTGAGTCTGCGTAGCTCCAGTAGACAGGCATGCAGGCTCCCCATGGGAACGTCCTTGGCTGGGTATGTCTCTGAGGACTCGTCCATGGAGGAGTCTGTGGACAGGGCTGAGTCTGTGATGTCATTGCCCCGCAGGTGGGAGACGAGCGAGCGCACCTGGCAGTAGGCCTCCCACAGCTGGAGACGGAGCTAGAGACAGAGAGGGAGAGCTGCTTAGCAAAAACTGTTTATGATACACTATGAATCAATGATATGATATCTAGGACTCTCTGTATGCCACTCTATCTCACAAAGCAGGGTGTGCATGTATGCGTGTGCGTGTGTGCGTGTGCATGTGTGCGTGTGCATGTGTGCACCTGCTCCCTCTCCTGTTCCTGCTCCTCTTGCTCCATGCTCTGTTCTATCTCACAGAGTAGACTGGCAGGGTGTGGGCTGAGGCCTTGTAGACTTCTCTCCTCTGTGAGCTCCTCAAAGCGGGCACTCAGATGTCTGTGGGACACCCGGACCTCCTGGAGCTCCAGCTGGCTCTGCCGTAACTGGACACACACAGCAATACAGTGGACAACAAACAGTAGTCAACACAGGGGTCAACACAGTAGTCAACACAGTGGTCAACACAGAGCACTGATACCATACAGATCAACATAACACACTCAGACACACACACCTACAGAACATGTCTTTAAACCCATATATACGTTCACACATAATACAGGAATATTATGGAACTGTACAAATAGCGACAGAGATCGTACCTGTAAGTCCTTCTCGTGGTGATGTTTCTCCAGCACTAGTGTTCTTTCCCTCAGGTCGTCAACAGTATTCTGAAGTAGCTCGTTTTCCTCTAGCACAGCGTTAACCCGACGCTCCAGCTCTCTCTTACGCTCCGACAGCATCTTAATCTGACAAGATACACAACCCCAATAGCCAAGTAACACATTGTGCTATGGGAACCAAGGACAGAGAAGAGAAACTGTTTTGGTAGCTATCTGCACTCAGTGTTAGCCTCTATTAACCTGTTTATCTCCTGACTGACTGAGGAGTTCAAATGTTCCAGAAGATGAAAGTACTCCCCCTGGTCCAAAGAATGTTTGTTGCCTAGCATCGGCGTAGGCGGTTTCTGCCACCCTCATATACAGGAATGTCTCTGTGGTAAGTTGATAGTCCAAATAGACCCGATAACAGTTTATTCCTTCATCAGTCTATAAAGTGGCCTTGGACTGAATGCTAACATTGCACAAACACTGCACATTTCTAGAGATACAAGGAGAGTTGTTTGTCTGTAATATGTTTGGTAGCGGTCTGCGCAGCTTAATCCATTAAACAAACATCAGTTATTGTTATTTCTCTTTACTCCCCATCCATGCTTTGACCTACATCTGGTAACCTACTTCACAGCGCAGTATGTGGACGTTTGGGCACCATGTGGATGTCTTTGTAGATTCATGTTCTTCGTGTATCCTTCAGATATTTTGGTTGACATTGCTGTGATTTTCTCTGTCTAGCAGGACTGTAACATATCCATCCTTGTCACTTTAAATTCAGAAAACCCGTTGCAATCCTGGGAACACCCAGACATTGCAGTATATCTGCTAAATATAGAACGGCAGCTTTTTCACTCAATTCCAGTGCAGTCTCTGCAGTGAGGTTACTGCTCTCCAACAAGACCCACTGAGCGGTATAATATATCTGTCATGTTATCATTCTATGACCCTGAGCTAGATGGCTGACATTACACATCATTGATATTATTGTGTATTCTCTTGATAAATGTATCACAGACAGAAACATACAGAATCTCATGCTCCATAGCAGTACAGTGGGACATGTACACACATGCGATATGCAGCATGCAGACAAACCAATATAACCACTCACTTCTAGCCCTTGCTGCTCCAGTGAAGTGGAAGGATTCAATCACGGTATTAGAGGAGGGGAACAGGGAGAAATTGAATGATTGATAGAAAACGAGAGAAAACTGATAGGGGAATAGTTTGAATACTACTGTTTGAATTAGTTTGATAGAAAACACAGCACAACTTGAGGTGTGCATATTCTAATATCTCAGGATATTACATTTTCTCAACCCCACACAGCACATTAAAACACATGTTTTAATAAATGACACTTTTGATTATGACTGGGTAATATTCGTTAAGTTGAAATCAATTTTTAAGAAGGTATTGATTTTTGAGACGGTTAAAAATGACTACTCGGATGCCTCACCTCAGCCTGTAGGCTCTCTAGTCGTGTCATGTGCTGGTTGGTGGAGACGCTCTTCTCTCTGAAGTCATCCCGTAACGAGTGGACCTGAGTGGACAGCTGCCTCTCCACATCTGTAGCCTGGAGACACACAAACACACCCCAGACACAGAGCGTTAGCACAAATACATTAACAAATTATTTTATAACATGTTATTAATACAATTCAATACAACTTGTCTCAGGGGCAATTATGAAAGGCATTACCAGATGACAAATATCTACATCTTCCATATAAAATACAAAGTGCATAACGGTAGTGTTGTAAAGTCGTAATTCAGAACAGTTCAGTATTCTCACAACATATTGTCCACACATACTCATGCCACTCACATACTTCACATTGTGCCATGGTGAGACACGTTCTGAGTGAGTACCCAACACGGCAATGCTTTGAGGGCTATTTGATTTGACACACTGTTACCTCTGAGTCACCACAGTGTTCCTGTAACTGGTATCCAGCTGCACAGCAGAACTGTTCCTGTGAAAGCACAGGTTTGAGTAACTCAACCTTAAAAATCTGAAATGTTCTGTTTAGAGCTTGGTCCCTACTGCCCCCTTCCCTGGCTGAGCACATTGGACTGTTCTGATCAATAACCCACTGCCTACCGGCCGTGTGATGTTTATAGGATCTTTCAGTCAGTGGTTGCATTGTTGGCCACTGTGGTGACTGGTGAGGCCTTCGTGAGTAGTGACTGCATGGGACAGGTAAGAACAGGAAGTGACCAAACACAGCCGCTCTCTAATGCTCTGTCCTTGTTGTAGACCCACAGGTATAATGTAGTTGGACAGAGCTCTCCACCCATCTGTCTGTCTGAATCCTAAACAGAGTTGGCTTTTCTACTACAGTCAGTCTACTGTAAGTGAGTTAGAGATTTAGGTGAGATAAATGGTTTCCCCATTGGACATCTGTTGGTGTTTCGTGGAACTAGCATGGCATATTGCGTAATAATACAAGGCTTATACTCAGAAATCTACACTACACCATGCTTTCTGGAAAGCTTTTAGCGGTGAGGAGAGATGTCCACTTTGGAACGTCTGCTGCTAAAAGATGGGTGAGTTCCATTCACACTTGAATGCACTTGTGTCCTTAAGTAACTCAGAGAGGGGTTGTAATGTTTATGTATTCTGTGTGGGAGACCAAGGGAAGAACAACCTGAAAACTAAAACCTGTGCTTTGTCATAACATTGTTTGGTCAGTGCACTATGCTTACAAAAATAAGAAAACGTTTGTTGTGGCACTTCTACAAGTCTTCCACTTCTATGTACCCCGTTTTCATAATGGCATCTTGTTGTCCCCAGTGATGCTTGGGAGGAATGATATAGCCTTTACCAAACGCAGAATCATAATTAGTTTGATGTATTCTTAGACATTCAGACACAGGAGCTCTACTCTGCAATTCTGAATGTGCTTCACATTCTCCTAACCAGGCCAGGAAGATGCATACAGCTCTTCCTCTCTGCTAAACTGACTGATGTATCTGTCTCCTCAGTGGAGGTCTATGCAAAGCCCAGTCACAGTGGGAATGTGACATTTGACTCAGTGTCACACTGCGTCTGACAGATTGAGATCAGAGGAAAAACAGGACATTTCACTGTGTTGCCAGATGTACTGATATTCCCCTTAATCTGAGCATAAAGTCCTCAGATCCCAGATCAAGCATTATCAGTACATGGGGGAAATCAGACTACTGCAACAGAATCCAGGCCAACAAACTAGGGCTCAATAATCTGAGAGACAAGCGTAAATGCTAATTCTTCCTCCAGAGTCCGAACACAAAGGTACAGTACCTTGTGCAATGATCCCTCAAATTTTCTGGGGCACTGAACAATTTTTTTGTCTTGTGAGCAGAAACTTGAACGTTGTGAGAATTTTGTGCAACTTCCGGTGCATATTTACAGTGAACACTGAGGCTGTACCCTTACAGTTTTAGACAGTAGCCAATATGCTATTGTGGCTATCTGAGCATTATGTAGGCCAATGGATCAAATCCCATAACATTTTCACATGGAAATAGGTTTTTATTTCTATGATATAGCCTACAGTAGCCTATATGTGGTGTTCAATGCAGGCCTACATTGCTTGAGACTTTTAAAACGTTTTTACATTAGGATGGGTTTGACATTCATTAATGATTTTTTACTTGGTCTGTAACACCATGGGCCAAATAGGTGACTGTAAATTGCATTGTATTGTGTTGTATGATGCAAGAAACCACTTTACAAAATACAATGAATTATTATTACCATACAGAGAATTAGACAATGTAGGCTACCCCTCTGCCTATTGGCTTATTTACATATTCAAGCCTGTCTCAAAATACAACACTGCCCCTTTAATTAAGACATAAGCTTTTTACCTTACTGGCTTTTCAAAGACAGCTTGAAATGTAGCCTACACGTTTTGTGCTCTTGTACGAATCAGTAACTCTCCATTGCTGGCCTATACTTATCTATAACTGGGCTAATAACTCGCTAACTAGCTAAGAATATCAACAAATGTGCACACGCGCGGCTCTGCACTCTGATCTGAAAAGCGCATTCACTTGCGGGTGGGTGCGGTTGCACTCTGGCTCTGCCTACAACAAAATCACAGACTCAATCTTGCAAAGTTAGATTTGTTTTGTTTTGTTGCATAGAAAAGGGGCTGATATAATGTTGATTCGATCACAGCAAAAACGTTGATCTATATAGTGCAAACTAATGGTGCGAACTCAGTGAAGTTCAATCTCTTGCGTCTCTGCGCGGCATAGCATTTCTTCTGCGCCGCAGTCCTGGAGGAGGTGGCGGCCGCGCACGCGCGCAGCTTTGAGGGAACATTGACCTTGTGCCAAGCCATCCTCTTTCATAGGGAAAAATTACAACATTCTCAAAACCCTTTCATTTACAGTAGTCTTTGATATGAGAGGAACAATATATTCCCTACATACAGGCCTAATCCATAGCGCCTGTCACGGATCCCCCCGGTACTGCTGCTCATTCCGTTCACCAGCTCCGGAGGTCTAGGTCACCGGCCTTCTAGGCGTCACTGAACTGGTTCATTACCACCAACCCCGGACTGTCTTGTTTCATTACGCACACCTGGTTCCCATTCCCCCTGATTAGTATGTGTATATATGTGCCCTCTGTTCCCCATTGTCCTTGTCCCACGGTCTCGTGAGTACCGTGTATTGTTATTAGGGGTCTCGTCCCTTGTATTGTGTAGAGGTTACACCTCGCTCTTTTGTTTGGGTTACATCCCTTTGTTATATACAGTCGTGGTCAAAAGTTTTGAGAATGCTACTTCAGTGTTTTTAGATATTTTTGTCAGATGTTACTATGGTATACTGAAGTATAATTACAAGCGTTCCATAAGTGTCAAAGGCTTTTATTGACAATTACATTAAGTTTATGCAAAGAGTCAATATTTGCAGTGTTGACCCTTCTTTTTCAAGACCTCTGCAATCCACCCTGGCATGCTGTCAATTAACTTCTGGGCCACATCCTGACTGATGGCAGCCCATTCTTGCATAATCAATGCTTGGAGTTTGTCAGAATTTGTGGGTTTTTGTTTGTCCACCCGCCTCTTGAGGATTGACCACAAGTTCTCAATGGGATTAAGGTCTGGGGAGTTTCCTGGCCATGGACCCAAAATGTAGATGTTTTGTTCCCCGAGCCACTTAGTTATCACTTTTGCCTTATGGCAAGGTGCTCCATCATGCTGGAAAAGGCATTGTTCGTCACCAAACTGTTCTTGGATGGTTGGGAGAAGTTGCTCTCGGAGGATGTGTTGGTACCATTCTTTATTCATGGCTGTGTTTTTAGGCAAAATTGTGAGTGAGCCCATTCCCTTGGCTGAGAAGCAACCCCACACATGAATGGTCTCAGGATGCTTTACTGTTGGCATGACACAGGACTGACGGTAGCCTTGTCTTCTCCGGACAAGTTTTTTTCCGGATGCCCCAAACAATCGGAAAGGGGATTCATCAGAGAAAATGACTTTACCCCAGTCCTCAGCAGTCCAATCCCTGTACCTTTTGCAGAATATCAGTCTGTCCCTGATGTTTTTCCTGGAGAGAAGTGGCTTCCTCGCTGCCCTTCTTGACACCAGGCCATCCTCCAAAAGTCTTCGCCTCACTGTGCATGCAGATGCACTCACACCTGCCTGCTGCCATTCCTGAGCAAGCTCTGCACTGGTGGTGCACCGATCCCGCAGCTGAATCAACTTTAGGAGATGGTCCTGGCGCTTGCTGGACTTTCTTGGGAGCCCTGAAGCCTTCTTCACAACAATTGAACCTCTCTCCTTGAAGTTCTTGATGATCCGATAAATTGATGATTTAGGTGCAATCTTACTAGCAGCAATATCTTTGCCTGTGAAGCCCTTTTTGTGCAAAGCAATGATGACGGCACGTGTTTCCTTGCAGGTAACCATGGTTAACAGAGGAAGAACAATGATTTCAAGCACCACTCTCCTTTTAAAGCTTCCAGTCTGTTATTCTAACTCAATCAGCATGACCGAGTGATCTCCAGCCTTGTCCTCGTCAACACTCTCACCTGTGTTAACGAGAGAATCACTGACATGATGTCAGCTGGTCCTTTTGTGGCAGGGCTGAAATGCAGTGGACATTTTTTGGGGGGATTAAGTTCATTTTTATGGCAAAGAGGGACTTTGCAATTAATTGCAATTCATCTGATCACTCTTCATAACATTCTGGAGTATATGCAAATTGCCATAATAAAAACTGAGGCAGCAGACTTTGTGAAAATTAATATTTGTGTCATTCTCAACTTTTGACCACGACTGTATATACGTGTTTGTTTTTGGCTTCGTTCCCATCGGTTTTCATGATGTACCTTGTGTTGGGTGGAATAAATAAAACCCCTAATACGTATTCCTGCGCCTGCCTTCTAATAATTATAATACAAAAACATAGCAGAGTTTCCGTGGTTTCCAGTCTAATGTTCTTGCTTACACATGGGTGTGGAATTGAGAGGGGGTAGGGGGATCCTTTAGGGATTTACCACTTGTATCCTCTTATTTTGTCATATCGGTAATTAAATCCGTGATTTCCAATGGCTTATCTGTTCCCTCTCACTCTACCCTCTCATCAGGATGCAGAACATACTGTACAGTACAAGCTATTATACACGTATGGTTGAAGATGACTTGCAAGTCCATGTGTGTACATGTCAGCGGGATCTGTGTTGCAACCTGACATCGGGTTGGCTGTACAGCACACAGTGCCTCAGAGAGCATATTCCCATGGTAACACATTAAATCTCATATGACAACCGGGTTGTCATAGCAACCAGAGACAGGATTGGTGGACCTGTGTGACTAGGTGGCCTCATCACAACTGATGGCCTGGAAAGATGTCCAGTGTCTGTGTCGTTCACCCCTGTGTTTTATACAGTGGTAAGTAGCCATGGAGCAGAGCACAACAGAGTATTGCCCATGGTAATACAAAGTCAGCTCATTAAAGTTAGTTGGGGTCTATGAGTTTATCATAGTGTAATGCAGAGCCTCAGTGTACACTTACACATAGTCCTAACAAAAGGCCTTAATGGGGTCTTAGTAACCACACAGCACATTATTACTCCCATCTACACATTGGCCTTAAAACAAGCAGCTCCAATAAGGTCACTGGAGGTGCTATGGGCGTCTGATCATCTTGGCAGAGCCAGAGATTTTGGGTTTTGATTTGATCAGGGTTATAGCCTTAAACATGTAGGCATTTGTGCTGGAGTCAGGTCTCCCCCTTTCTAAATGTGTGCTGTAATGCAATTAGAGAAATGTTCCCTCCTCGCTGGTTCACTCTGATCAGATTAGGCCTCAGGGGATTGGCCAACCTCACACCCCAGTCCAGCCAAGCCTACCAGACCAGCAGACACCACAGGGTTTAGGTGTGTTTTTACATCTGTGCTTCTTTGAGTCTGTATGAGTAGTAAGTGTGTCTGTGTGTGTCTACAGTATGTGGCTGTGTTGAATATGTTAGTGACATTGTGGCTCTCATAGATTTAAGTCTAGCTCATAGAGAATGGCTCCTGTGTATTAGTGCTAGGTTTGCACTGTCCCTTGACATGAGGGGCAATGGCTCACACACAGACAGTTGGGTGACAGTTTTTAATTAGCTGTGAGTGCTGTATGGAGTGGTGTTGTTCTGGCTGCTGATTGAATGCATAAGAAAAGGCTATTACAGAGGATTATGACCTAATCCCTTCAGTGCTGCATCTTACACACTGCTTTTTACATCACTTCCTGTGGCCAGCCCCGCCACACCAAGGTCATTCCAGCTGCATCCAAACAGAGACTTGGTTCCAGCAGACTATTGGTTCCTCCCTCTAATCTGTTATTATGAAAGTGCATTGTTATTGTGAATGTGAGTGTAATCTTTAAAGCTTTGTTTTGAGAATGGCCCTTGGAAGAGCTGTCAGACACATTATAGGATTCTAGCCATTCTCCAGGCTCTCTACTGTCATGACTACAGCCTGCAACAGATTACCACTTATTTCCATCACTCCTTCGCAGGGGGGTGCCTTATTTTAGACTGGAAGACAGTGGACGCATGTGGCACTCCTGTCATGTGTCTGTGTCTCGTCTCCAGTGAATGTGTCTAGAGTGGGCCAGTTAGAATAGAGTTTACACTTGGGAATAGATCTTAAAGAACCTTGGAAATGAATTCATGGTTGCTTGTTTTGTAGTGAGCCTTGCCAGACTAAATGGTCTGTCTGTAGATAAAACAGTCAGCATCCTTGTCCCTACTAATGCTGCTACAAAGATTGTCATTACAAAGCCAAAACATCTCCTAATCCATGTCTTTGGATAGGACTACACACAGGCACACAGACAGACCTACTTGAATCCTAATAAGACTGTTGCAGTACAAGGGGAAATGATGGGGAAAGACAGAGTGAGAGCAGATGATTTAGCGCTTCTCTCGTGGCTCTACTACTGGGGAGGTTTCTCAGAGTCAGGCTGGTGTGGGTTCACTAGGAGGATGTGTACTCAGAGCTGTGGTTTAAGCAGGCTATTGCTTAGTAACAGAGAGACTACCATGGCTGACCTCATTCATTTTATTACACAGGAGGTCTCTCTGGCATCCGACAGCAGTGAATCACGCAAGCCTGATCAATACTCTCAATTAGCACTCATAAATTACCCCCCCCCCCCATCTACACCGATTTCATATTAACCAGGGCTGCTTTTAAATCAACTGCAACTAAATTACATACCTAGCAGGATCCATAGAAAAATACCAGTTCAGGGCCCCCTCATTGGTCAGAGACTGATGGTGGATGACATGTATTTTACTTTAATCTGATCAGAGATGGAAATGAGAGGTAAAGCAGGTCTGTATGACCCAGCGGTGCTGCTGTCTCTGTATCTGTAACAGCACACAGCCAGCAGCAGCCCTCATGAGGAGGGCTAAAAACAGCCATTGACCGCTAACTAGCTCTCTCCCTGCTGGGCTGTGGAAGGAAGCAGCATCTGCCTGACTGCAGCCCACATCTATTCCCAGGACAAACAGCACTGCATCACAGGCATTGTCACCCACAACACTGTCACTGGTGTCACCAGAGCACCACAGCAGGCAACAACCGCCTATCTCCACATCTGAAGCTCCTCTGGCTTTTAAAAGGAGACTGGCCCTCTGACACAGCTTTCTCCATTTAACAAACCCTCAGATGAAAGGTATCAATATATCCCTTCAACTCGCACAAAAGCATATCCCTGTGCCTCGCGTCAGTGGAAAGCTAGTGTCTTTTAGAAACAGCTATGTGACGCCGTGCCTATCAGCCTCAGCCTGGTATGCTAGTGGTAAAATGAGCAGCAGTAAAATCATTTCAAACAGTCTGTTGATGTAGAGGATAATCCATGAATGGGAACATTGGCTGTTTCTGTCCTGGAATGAATGTCTATTAAGAAAAATAGTTTTTCCAGATATTCATGTGATTTTTTTGCTGCACCTTGACTCAAGTTGGTAGAAGCGCTGTCTACTCCCTTCCTGACTGGAGTTTCCATTCGTTTCCCATTGGGATTTAGGCCTAAAAGGAATTGACCACTCTGCTAGTCAGGTTGTCAGGGCAATGCCTCCCACTATAGTTAGGATTGAGTGATTTGACTTCAGCTGTAGTCAAGCCAGCTTCTTATGGGAGTCTAATCAACAGTATTACCTACAGCACTGTTACTCAGCTCCATCAATCCAGCCTTTCCATGGAGTTGATTCAATGACAGCTTCTCCTGACACATGTCCATCACTATTTACAAAGTGGATGTGCTCTGATTTAACCTTGACTTCCTCCACTCTCCCTGTCATCCTGTCATGCGTTCTCTGTTTTTTTTCTGTTCTTAACCGAGTCACAGGCTATCAAAATTTTTTGTTACCTAAGACATCAAATCTGTTTTAACAGCCTGTAGTTACTTATCAATATGGATAGGAGGGTTGCATAAGTAGTATGCAGCCCGAATCATTCTAAATGATTCAGTGTTTAAGAGGTGAACGTTCCACTTTCGATGACTTAGCATATATTGATCTGTATGAGAGAGAAAGAGAGAGAGAGATGAGGAAAGAGATTGAAGCAGTCTATGTACGTGCATGTATGCATTCTATATGAGAACATAGTTGTACCCTCTCTAGAAATGAACACGGCAGACTGAGACATCAGCAGACTGAGACATCCAGTGTTGAGTCCCACTGACAGGTCCACAGACAGACAAAAAGGTCCACAGACAGATAGTTATCTCCACTCACCCGGCTAAGTTGCTCCAGCAGGCGGTGGTTCTCTTCTGACAGCTCCCTCATAGCCGTGGACTTGTCGCGGTCGGCCTCTCTCAGCTGGACCTGATGGCGCTCCAGCTCTCCCTGCAGCTGCTGGACGTCTGTCTCCAGCTCCGCCACGCGGTCCCCCCACTCCCCCTCCCTATTCTCCAGCCGCCGCCGCAGCTCGTGCTTCTCCTGCTCCAGGTGCTGTGGGTGAGGGGAGACAAGGGACAGGGTTAGAGATGATACTGGACTGGAGGGACCAGGTTAGGCCTGAGACTAGTAGTAATAGACATTGGATCGTGAAAGGATAGCACAAAGCTTCTGCTCTTTTCTATCCATGGCTTTATAAGGCTGAGGCAGGGGATGGGGATGTGAGTGTGGGCTTATGAGAGAACCAGGGGGTCAGGGGATGGGGGGATGGGTGGCATGGTTGGTCACACACATGATGTAGCCCAGATCATGTTGGGTGATCAGTCCTGAACAAAGAGGCACGTCAGGAATAAAACAAGGTTTGTAAAAGGATAACGAACAATGTTATCTGTCCCTAAAAAGCTTTGAAATAGCTTGATGAATACTGTGCACTGGGTAATAGCGTAGTTCTGTGTTGTTAGAGATCAGGGCCCTGAGCAGATGTAGCCTACAGTAGATACAGTAGGCCATCTCCATGGGACATTAACAGGGGATTAGTCGTTGTTCCACTCCAGGCCATGTGCTGAGTGGAGTGGGGGTTTCAGATGTGATGAACAAAAGCTCTGTTGTCAGCGTGAACAAATGCAGCAGACATCTATGGGGTTTCAGGGCTTTAGTTGTTGTGAACACCTCTCCACCTGTGTCAATGCTACCTGTCAGTGTCAGGTAATGACAGTAAAAGCATATAAATAAAAAGTAATTGTGAGAATTGAGTGACCTCAGTCTGCTGTTAGAGCAGTGTTTTGTGCCCAAGTGTTTTTATGGGAGAGGCATTATACTGTTATTACACTGTATGGAGATTAGCTGTAAATTGTAGACAGTCTGAAAACACTGTCAAGCTAATTGTTTACAGTGTGTCATCTGCTCAATAGCATTACAATAATGGAGGGCAGTCCTAATCAGTTGAATTTACTGAAACAAAAATGATGGCCAAACAACTGTGAATTGAAAAACTGATCTGGCAGGACTGAATCGTGATTATACAGTATTTGGCAGTGTGTGTAAAGCTACTTACCTCTAGTTTATCGTTAAGATCTTTGTTCATTTTCTCATATTGCTTAGTCAGGTCTTGGTTACGCTCTAGCAGTGCCTTGCCTAGTTTAGCAGCTAAAACCAAGTCCTTCTCTTTTTGACGGAAGAGCGACAAGTCTGTATTCTGTCCAATTACAGGCGTCTCCAATTCGGATAACTCTTCCTCCTCCTCGTCGTCCTGCTCCCCAGTAAGCATGGCTAATTCCTCTTCCAACGCCATCCCGAGGCCTCCAGAGCCGGTGTGTAGCAGCGAGTGGCCCTGAAATCCTCCCTTTTCTTGTGGGGTTTTGTTGCCCTGATCCAGCGGGTGCTCCATGCAGTCGCTGTCCAGCTCGGGTGGTGCTGAAATCGCCGCCTTAGATGTGTGCAGGTCGAGGCAGAAAGCTGACATCGCCGCCCGACGGACAAAAAACCAAGAGATTAGCCTACCCAACTGATTTATTCCGGCTGAACCCGCTCTGTCACTGGGTCGGCCTGACCGGATCCTCTATGTGTCGACAATATCTCCATAGATAGGGTTCCTTGGTAGGCATATGTTACAGTTATTAAGAATCACGGCAATAGCTAACCTGTCTGACTCAAATTTCCCTCACACTTCGAAGACCACCTCCCCTGAACCGTACACACCAAGCTCTCTCTTTAATCCTGCAAACAGTGCCGCCGCCTCTGCAGTTGAGCAGCCTCTTGATGTCTGCTGCAGGCTATCTTGGATGTAAAGATTGTCGGTCCACAGCGTGCTTTGTCCCCACATTAACCGCCCTGACGAACTCTCAATAGCGGTCGGTCTGTCCACCCCGTTGAGGCGGGGTCCCGGCTCCGCATAATTGTTGGCCCCTTTACACCGGAGGCATTTGGCAGAACCTCAGGCCTGGGCCAGATATCCAAAATACCCACTCCAGCAGAGCGCGAGCCCGATGGCGCCACATCCTTTCCTTCCTCGAATGCGCGCCACACGTTGCTGACGTCAACAGCAACCTGATACAAATATCCATCGATTGGCTGAGGATGATAACGCCATATGTTGTTATTTTGCATGACGTAGGTGTGTATTTACTTCGCTTTGAGTCTACATAGTTTCATAAAGCTTTTCAACGATATAATATTACATCAAGAACTTTCTCTCCTAGTCCTCACAGACATGGCCTCAGGGTAAATTAGAGCAGATGTTTTGACAGATGAATAGGGGAACACACACGGGTGGTCTAGGTCTGACCCCATTATTTCACAGCGGGTGTTCATGTATAAACAATGCAAAACCCACGTGATTGTCCTAATCTCTAATGTTAGACATTTCCTAGAGGAATGCCCAATGATAAACATGTCTGTTATAATAAATTCAGAACATAAAACATAAAAGGTCAGTTTGCTTTTAACCCCATCTTACTAGGTCTATATACATGATCAAACCAGAAACCACTATACTCATACTATTTTATAAACAGGCCTAATGAGTTACCACCCTCACCCTCTGTGTCCGTCCATATTTCAATATGGTCCATATGTCATCATACTAATTACCAGGAGCTTTCAGATAGTATGCTATTACAATTTATAAACTGGGTGGTTCGAGCCCTGAATGCTGATTGGCTGACAGCCATGGTATATCAGACCGTATACCCCAGGTATGACAAAGCATTTCTTTTTACTGCTCCAATTACGTTGGTAACCAGTTTATAATAGCAATTAGGCACCTCTGGGGGTTGTGGTATATGGCCAATATACCACGGCTAAGGGCTGTATCCAGGCACTCCGCGTTGCGTCGTGCATAGGAACAGCCCTTAGCTGTGGTATATTGGCCATATACCACACCCCATCGGGCTTTATTGCTTAAGTAGCCTATTGCGTTACCTTTTATGCTTCTCTCACCAACAAACTCCCTGAATGAAATTGCCAGTAGAGTGACCTGTGAATACTTTATGATGAAAGTGTATGATGTGCAGGAAAAACATTTATTTAAAAACAAGCCCTTCGTGTAGACTGAAGTAAGGACACAAAAGAAGTGGGTCACGGCCTGACTGCCCTTCAGTCAGCTCTATGGTGGTTATCCATCCAATCGCTTTTGAGTGATTTCTTCCAAGTGGATAGGAATGGGGTACATTTGATAGGCGACCAGGCATGGATTAAGCAGCAGCCTTCAATCATCTATATTACTGTAATGCTTATACTCTTATACTGGAGGGTAAATGTATAAAAACAACTGTTGCTTCAAGATGTTTCAGTACAGTAGCCTCACATGGGCCAAACCACAGGGGTTCCCGGATTATCTCCATCAACATAGCGAACTGCTTAAGACCCTACTGGTGACCAGCCTTCACTGTGTTTTTTCGCTGGTGACCAGCCTTCGTTGTGTTTTTGCTGCTGACCAGCCTTTGTTGTTTTTCCTACTGGTGACCAGCCTTAGCTGTGTATTGGACACTGGTCACCAGCAACAAGTCACATTATGCTGGCTTGCAAAGTGCTGTCTAATTCCTATTGGAATCCAGCCTGAGTGGGGATATCCAACAATTGGAACTTTTATTCACCCACAATCTACATTCAGATTGACTCCCAGGGTTAGAAAGTTGAATAACTAAGACTACCTAAACCATCTAAACTGGAACAACCATTTCAGTAACGGGTGCAATAAGTCCAACTAACAGATTGTATTAGTTTAGAAAAATGTATGTTATTTATCTTTTTAATTAATCAATCAATGTACACAGATATACACAGATATTGAAACAATCAATTAAAATAAAACTGCAATCGAGCATACTGGGAAATATGATAATGATGGGTGTGGTTTAGCAGACCAGCTTGACCAGATAGACCATGCTGGACAAGCATACACACAAAAAATAAGATATTGAGGGGTTCTTTGTCAGTGGTGAGGGTGATACAGTATGTGTAACCATATTTTTATTTTTTGCGTATTAGGAAGAGTTCTTTACTGCTGTGATGGTTGTGAAGAACCATCCTGTTCTTTCCCTTTCCACCATGTTTTCCTTTTATGCCATGAAATGCTACACTGTTCAAAAGTTGCTTTAATTGTATGGTACACTACAGGCTGTTGGTTGCAGTGAAAGTAAGGTAAACAACAATGTTACTGCTGTAGAAGGACAGTATGCTGCTGAATGCTGGTTACCTCACTTTTTGAACTCACAACCTCTTGGTTGCTAATGACCTGAATTTCCAGCTACGCCACCAGGGATGGGCATAAATTACAATTACAAAATACAACTACAAAATACCCTAAAGACCAATGTATCAAAATAAAATATACTTTTGCAAAGTATTGTATTTAATTAAAATACATGTAAGTAGCCAGCCAAACAGTGTCACACCCTGGCTCTGGGACTCATTATGTTGAGCCAGGGTGTGTTCATTCTATGTGTTTATTTCTATGTTGGTAGTTCTGTTGGGTTTATTTCTAGGTTGGTCTGAGTGACTCCCAATCAGAGGCAACGAGTGTCAGCTGTTTGCTAGTTGTCTCTGATTGGGAGCCATATTTAACTGTCTGTGTTTCACTTTGGGTTTGTGGGTTTTTGTTCCGTGTCGGTATGTTAACCGTTGGACTTCACGAGTCGTGTTTTGTTTGTATTTAGAAACTTTAATTAAATAAAGTCATGTTTCTTTCACACGCTGCGCCTTGGTCTACTACTCCTTTTGAAGACGATCGTGACAGAAAAACCCACCGTAAAAGGACCAAGCAGCGTGTCCAGGAGCAGGCAGACTGGACAAGAGAGGAGCAGCGGCGTCAGCAGTGCCATCGTCGGACGGACGAGAGGCACCCCCAAGAATTTTTTAGGGGGGGGCACACGTCATGGGCGACTGGGCAGCAGGAGGCTGCCACAGGGCGTATTGGGCGATTTGGAGAGGAGGCCACCAGGTTAAGGGGGCTACTGGCGAAGAGGGAGCAGGAGTTAATGTTGCAGAGGATGGAGCTATTAGAGGCGATTAGGGAAAGGGTGAGAAATGAGGCACGGCGAGAGGAACTCGGTAGGCAGCTGAGGGAGCGGAGGGTTATGATGAAACCCAGTCCCGCTCCTAACACCAAGCAAGTGGTGTGCGTCACCAGTCCGGTCCGGCCCGTTCCTGCTTCCCGCACTAAGTGTACGGTGCACGTCGCCAGCCCGGCCCGGCTCGTTCCTGCTTCCCGCACTAAGTGTACGGTGCGCATCGCCAGCCCAGCCCGGCCTGTTCCTGCCTCTCGCATCAAGCCTACGGTGTGCGTCGCCAGCCCTGCCCGGCCTGTTCCTGCTCCTCGCACTAAACCTACGGTGTGCGTCGCCAGCCCAGCCCGGCCTGTTCCTGCTCCACGCACCAAGCCTACGGGGTGCGTCGCCAGCCCAGCCCGGCCTGTTCCTGCTCCACACACCAAACCTACGGTGTGCGTCGCCAGCCCTGCCCGGCCTGTTCCTGCTCCTCGCACTAAGCCTACGGTGTGCGTCGCCAGCCCGGTCCGGCCTGTCCCTGCTCCACGCACCAAGCCTACGGTGTGCGTCGACAGCCCAGCCCGGCCTGTTCCTGCCACCCGCACCAAGCCTACGGTGTGCGTCGACAGCCCAGCCCGGCCTGTCCCTGCTCCACGCACCAAGCCTACGGTGTGCGTCGACAGCCCAGCCCGGCCTGTTCCTGCTCCACGCACCAAGCCTACGGTGTGCGTCGACAGCCCAGCCCGGCCTGTCCCTGCTCCACGCACCAAGCCTACGGTGTGCGTCGACAGCCCAGCCCGGCCTGTTCCTGCTCCACGCACCAAGCCTACGGTGTGCGTCGACAGCCCAGCCCGGCCTGTCCCTGTTCCACGCACTAAACCTACGGTGCGCGTCGCCAGCCCGGTCCGGCCTGTTCCTGCCACCCGCACCAAGTGTACGGTGCGCGTCGCCAGCCCGACCCGGCCTGTTCCTGCCACCCGCACCAAGTCTACGGTGCGCGTCGCCAGCCCGGTCCGGCCTGTTCCTGCCACCCGCACCAAGTCTACGGTGCGCGTCGCCAGCCCGACCCGGCCTGTTCCTGCCACCCGCACCAAGTCTATGGTGCGCGTCGCCAGCCCGACCCGGCCTGTTCCTGCCACTCGCACCAAACCTACGGTGCGCGTCGCCAGCCCGACCCGGCCTGTTCCTGCCACTCGCACCAAACCTACGGTGCGCGTCGCCAGCCCGACCCGGCCTGTTCCTGCCACTCGCACCAAACCTACGGTGCGCGTCGCCAGCCCGACCCGGCCTGTTCCTGCCACTCGCACCAAACCTACGGTGTGCGTCGCCAGCCCGGTCCGGTCTGTTCCTGCCACTCGCACTAAGCCAGGGGTGCGAGAAGTCAGCCTGGTAAGGCCCGTTCCTCCTCCACGCACCAAGCCAGGGGTGCGAGTCGACAGACTGGACCAGGGGCACTATGGGGGGTGTATTGGAGGGTGGTGGTCAAGGCCGGAGCCAGAACCGCCGCCGAGGAGGTATGCCCGCCCAGCCCTCCCCTGTTTTGTTTAGTTGAGGCGCGGTCGCAGTCCGCGCCTTTAGGGGGGGGTACTGTCACACCCTGGCTCTGGGACTCATTATGTTGAGCCAGGGTGTGTTCATTCTATGTGTTTATTTCTATGTTGGTAGTTCTGTTGGGTTTATTTCTAGGTTGGTCTGAGTGACTCC